GTCATGTTCCGGGAAAACTGAAATTGTGTGGCAGATGTCGGTCACGGTAACTTTCATTTTCCGGTTTTGTTCTGGAAATTATCCATTTACTAATTAAACACTGAGTGCATGTAATAACATTTATAATTAATTTTTGTAATTGCATTTGTAATTACACTGTTAATCATCCCTTACACCTTTACCCACCCTTACACCTAACCATACAATTACACCTGTCCATAACTCTACCTGTTTCCAACTCCTGCAGTCAGGGCCAGATTTAGAGATTAGGGTATCCTAAGCCATGAGGCCCAACAGTCCTAAAATGCACCCTTTCTACTTTAAAAAAAAAAAATGTTGTTTACAGTTTAGTGAAGTAAACTAGAATTCATTAGAGCTGCAAAATATATCAGTGCAACTCAATGTAATTAATGTGATTAATTATAAATGTTATTGTCACGACAAAACAAAGCATAATCTCACAGACATATCTTAAGTTTGTTTAATTTTTCTGTTGAAACTAAACAAAAACAAAATAATCTAGGCTATTACAAACATCTTAAAGTTAGTATTAGTTAGTATTTTGTTACATTTTGGAGCTCAACAGTCCTAAAATGCTCCCTTTATACTTTTATTTAATTTTGTATTTATTAGGATTTTTTTTATATCACATGAATCATCTTTTCTGTGTTCTATCTTAATGCAATCTCTACTTTTTAAATGATTCGTTTTCTTAAAATTAATTTACAAATAATAATAATAATAGTAATATGCTCTAAGATTGGGGGGTGGTGGCAAAATTTGTGCGGATGTAATGATTATAATATTTTATTTTATGATAATATTATTACATAGCATTAAATTATTATAATAATGTTAGATTTTCATTTATATTAAATAATATTTAATTACGTAAAAAAATGTGTTTGACTCTTACCATGCAAAATATGATAGAAAACAACGCTATATATTGTTTATAGGTATAATTTATTACATATTTATTGGGGGCCCCCATATTTCCTGGGGCCCTAAGCGGCTGCTTACCTTGCTTACTGGTTAAATTCGCCCCTGCCTGCAGTGCATTAGGAACCCATTAAGTACATTGTATTTATCATTTGATGCAAGTACATAGTAGTTAGGTACACACAATAATTTTTTTTACATTGATTTACAAGAATACACCCACTTAAATGTCATTCAGTGTTTATTGTTGGAAGTAATATCAAAAAATTGTTTTATTTTGGCTGTGCTATGATGACAGTACATAATATTTTACTAGGTATTTTGTGATATAGTGACAGTTAGCTTAAAGTGTATTTTAAAGACTTAACTAGGTCAATTACTGTAGGTTAAAAAGGCAAGTCATTGGACAACATCGGTTAGTTCTGTAGCCGATCAAAACATAAAACTATTTAAGGAGGCTAATAATATTGACCTTTTAAACATTTTTTACATTTTCTTTTTCCACTCAAACTAAATATACAATGGGAAATGCAGCAAATATACAATGCTGGGAAATGAGAAAGGTGTTTAAATGACTCCTTATTTCCATTTTGACAGATGAATAAGCAGGACAGCTATTTATAGTTATCAATGTCCTCATTGGCTGTTCTGGTGTACGTGAGAATCCCCCCCCCCCAAATAACTCAAATGAAACCATAAACAATCTGCCACAATCCTGTTAAAGTACACAGTGTCAGCCTATGGATCAGAACAGACCCTCTTTGTCACTGTATTGATGTGCTCTGATCACTGAGCTGTGGAGACTTGGATGAATAATTTGGCTCAGTATTTCCATGCCCTGGTTTCTCCCTCACAAACTCCTAGTTTTCCCATGTTTCTAAACACAGAGGCCTACCAGAATATGAGTGTCCCTCTGGGAGTTGTCTGATATCTCCATAATGTAGGCTAAAGTTTTAATAGCATAGAAAGTGCACTGCTGTTTGAAAGTTTGAGGTCAGTTTTTTGATTACCTACTCCAAACTTTGGAAGCATCAGTTTTATAATGTAATGATGAAATAAATCTAATGAAACTTAAAACATTTTTTAAATTAAATTAAGTAATTTTTAATTATTTTCAGAATTAAATGGATAAAAACGTAATAAATAAATTATCATTTGAAATCAAACTTATTATAATTTTAATTAATATTTCAATTCTTTAAAAGTATTTCCAAAAATTTCAATATATTTTAAAACTAAAAAGTTTTAATAACTAATATTTCTAATAACTAATCAAAATCCATGACATTGTTCTAGGTATTTAAGTACTTGTCCTAAAGTCCGATTTAAAGGCTTAACTAGGTTAATTAGGTTAACTAGCCAAGTTAGGTTAATTGGGCAAGTCATTGGAAAAGTCACAAATTTTGGCCTGGTTGTTAGCCTGCTCTGGAGCAGTTAAGCAGCAAAGAATAAGTCTATAAAAAATATATGGGACAAAAAATAAAAAATAAAACTTAATATGCCTTAATCTCTTATTTAATTTAAAATATAAGACTTTATTATTACTTATTAATTAGTTTGTGCTTTTTTGAGCTCCTATCTCACAAAATACATTTTTTTCAAAGCTGTTTGGACAGAGGTGGGTGTAGAAATAATGTGTACACAGCCATATTAGAGTGGTACTAAATTATGGCCTTTTTTATTAATTTTTATATTCTCAAATTAAACACAGATTCGAACCCAAGCAATTTTAAGGTCAACCACTCAGTGTTGGACCAGTGCAGTTTTCCTCACCCACCTTTTTTTTTGACAGACACTTAATTAACACATCTCAGTACTAGACAGTACCACAAGACAGGATTTGCAAAGAAACTGGGATTAAAAGATGTGTTCTAACTATCCGTGATCAGCTGCATGTTAAGAAGAAGTGATGCACTTTAATAAAGAAATTTGTTATGTTATTCATAACGACTGAAATTACCTAGCTGCAAAGTGCCAGACAACTATAAACTAGAAGGTTTTGATCACATAACAGTCCCGGATATCAAATTCTATTCATTTTGTACAATAACATAAAGGGTCTCCTTACAGCATTTGTGTGTGGCTCAGTCACCATTGCAAAAAAAGCTGAATAAACTCTACAACACATTAAATAAACATTCAGAAACTTCCTTATTAGTCACTCACCCCTCTCACCCACCTTTGGCTTATTCCCTGCTTTTATCAGGGGTTCTGATTCAGTCTTACTGTGATATTTGTGATCTCTGCTTCTTCATTGTCTGAGTTGCTCACTGTTTTATTTAATTTTATTTAATTTATTTATTTATTTTTTGCTGTGTTTATCGGCCATTTGATGCTCGGTATTCTTCAAAAGCCAACATACCTGAACAGTGGATGGGAAGAATTGCATTTAAAGGCACAGACTCAGAACAGCTGAAGTTTCCTCTGACCCCAAAATTGACATTTTCAGCAGTGTACAATAAGTGATCTGCTATGGGTATTTTGAGCTGAAACTTCATAGACACTTTCTGGAGACACCAAACATTTATTTTATATATTGTAAAAAGGTAAAATAGGACTTCTTATTAAAATGCATTCCTTTCCATTATAACTTTTAAAAAACTTTTAAAAGTTATAACACCAAACTTTACTGACTTATACTTGTTACCGCTGATCTGTTATATTTCTTTTCTCATCTTCCTAAAATTAAAGTTTGTGTGAAATCAAAATTTATAATGTTTATTTTTCTAGCTCACATTGTTGTTCATAAGGTGAACAATTAATTTGTTAAAGTTGGCTCCATCAAATCTGACCATTTATTTCTGCATTTGCCGTGGCGGTTCTTCAATTATGATATCAGTTTGACAGCTCCTCTTACCATCAAACCCTGGTCACACTAGAGTTTGAGCTTGTGAAATTCTGGGCAAGATAATACAAGAGACGAAGGGCAGGATAAAATAAGTTGAATAGACATTGATAAAGCTAGCAATGGCTGCAAATTTGACATTCTGGTCACATTTTGATCTTCTATTGGTCTCACAGAATCACGTGATGAAATTTTACAGGTCAGAGTTCCCCAAATGCATCAACACAACAGGCAAAACTTGCATGAGCTTGTCTTCTGCTCAGGTGCTTTCACATGTGTATAAATGGAAGTCTATGGGACGAAAAGTCAAGTGTAACCCCCAACCTACTCAGTATTTTATTTCATATGGAAGTACATCAACATACTGAAGTAAAAGTCTCAGCAAATTCCAGTTCACATTGACTTTAAACCAGAATTGAATTTCAGTGAGACTAAAAATAAACAGTTGTGTAGCACTATATTTGGACAAAAATTCACTGAGCTTCCAGTACATTTTCTCTTATTTTACAGTTATTTTATTTATTTAATACAGTGTATAGTTAGAAAAAAAATTATATTTTGTTTTTGTTTTTGTCTTTATATTGTGTTTCGTTTTAAATATATTACTCCTTATTTTTGTTATTATGAATGAACTTTTTTAGTTTTAGTTTAGTTTAGTTTAGTTTTATTTTATTTTATTGTATTTTGTTTTATTTTATTTTATTTTATTTTATTTTATTTTGTTTTATTTTATTTTATTTTATTTTATTTTATTTTTTAGTTTTAGTTTAGTTTAGTTTAGTTTAGTTTAGTTTAGTTTAGTTTAGTTTAGTTTAGTTTAGTTTAGTTTAGTTTAGTTTAGTTTAGTTTAATTTAGTTTAGTTTAGTTTAGTTTTTGTGAAAACTGGCAGGAATGTATCAGGATTGATGGATAGAAAGTTTGTTATTTGAACTGTTAGTCATTGTCTAAAATGGCAAACTTTAAAATGAACCACTCCTCTATTATATTAAGATTCTTTTCTTATCTTCCCCAAATCCTCCCAGAGCTGAATCCCAGTGGGACTGAAAATACATATATAAAAATATCTATCAAAGATGCTTTGTCTTTAAGATGCTCCTCATTTGCATCGATTTTTCGTAACTGGTCTTGGTAGTGTGTAGTAGGTGAAGGGCTTTGAGAAGGGGGCCGATCCAGGGGTCAAAGGCTGTCATTCTCCCTCTGTCTGTGCTCAACAATCCCATTATGACGGTGTAGAGGATCGGACATTTGGCTGCCCTGCCGAATACCAAAGCCTGCGTGGTGCACTGGGGTACCGAGGGGCTCTTAGGGGGTTCAGTGAAGAGTTTTGCGTTTCGGCATACGCTCATCTACCTCGTCGGGCTGAGCAGGATGGCACCGCTGACCAGTCTGCTGCTCTTGAGTCTGGTCAGTCTGTCTGGTCAGATCCAGTGGTTTAGGTTTCTGTGGGTCCCAGAGACAAGTTCACCCGCTCCTGCGGTCAGCACACCTGCAGACACCAGCAGTACTGAAGCAGCAGAGGAAAACACAGAGCACGTCCTGCCAACCTCTCCTCCTGCGCCCACAGCGGCGCCCGCCGACACAGCCAGAGCCAAGAGACCTTTGAAGAGGTGGAAGAGCGGTGAGTGCAGCTGCACTGAAAAAACAAACAGAGATTTATGGAGAGAACAAAAACATTGTGACTTCAGTATATTTCTTTGTTTATTTTTTTTAATTTAAAATAGTTTTAATGTTTTAAAAAAAAAAAAAAAATTAATATTGCTTTTTTTAGTTTGTGTTATTTTAGAAAGAGAGAAACATTTTCTTATTAGCTAATTGAAATATTTTGTGTTGTTTTTATATATTATTTATATGTTTATATATTATTATTATTATATATTTATATATACTAATATATTATATTATTGTAAAATCAAAAATAAATTATGAATAAACTATTTTCAATATAATGTTTTTTTGCAGTGTGGACGAGCAGTGAGTTTTGGTTTATTGCAAAAAAAAAAATATTTATAGTAAATTAATATAAAGATAAAAGCTAAAATATAGCTTAAATATATGTAATATAATTGTTTTAAAGCTAAAAATCCATATATACATTGCAAAAAATAATTTTCTTTCTAGATTTTTTTGTGTTGTTTCTAGTCCAAATATCTCAAAGTTCTTAAATCAAGATGCATTTTCTATACAACCAAAACATGTTGTCTTGTTTTAAGAAATAATTTGCCAAAATGAAGTGTGTTTTTCCTTAAATCAAGGTAAATTATCTGCCAATGGGGTAAGCAAAATAATCTTATCACAAATCGAAAAACAAGATTAGTGTGCAAATAGCACACTTGAAATGGCTACTATTTGGTCCAAGCTGTGCAGTTGGATTGATACTAAGATTCTGTTTCACCCACGAGGCTAGCAGATATCAAACTGTAAAAGGTTTTTAATTGTGCCATGCTGTTGTGTGCAAGAGATCAGCCTGGCAGTGTTTGCAGAACTCACTTTTCTCAAAGAATAACGCTAAATCCCTATCACATGATATTATAATAATAGGATTAAGAGCAGGAGGTTTTCCATCAGTTGTAGTTCCACCTGCTGTTAAAGGCATGGGGAAAGATTGTGAAATTAACCCCGGGGATCAGACTTCTTCCTTAATTAATATCTCATTCTTCTCATTACTCTGTGCAATCAGCAAAGCTCTAATGCTGCATCTCTTATCATTTCATTTGAATGTTATAAGCAGTATTCCACTGTGTTTGTTAAATCAAAGAAAACAAGTTCACTTCTGCATGTATTTTCAGTGGAAACTGCTGTGAACTGTAATTAATTCTCCATAAAGAGGATCCTCTCTCTGCTTCTGCCATATAATGAAGGCTGATCCTCAAACTCTCGGCTCACACAGTGTTTGCTGGAAGCCCTGCAGCCATGTAGAGCTGTTTATTTGGTACTTCACTTCATTATTATCATTAGGTTTCGTGTCAGACTGAAACAGAAAAGGCTGCTTAGGGTTGTCAGTCTGAGGAGTCTTTTGCATTGACATTGGCATAAACTAATGAGAATGTTTTTATTATTTGTTTATGTTGCTGTGAAACAATTGCAGACTGTGAAATTGCTGGAAAGGGTAAAAAGAGCTGTCAAGAAATCTGTGAAGAGCATGATTAATACACACTGTACAACAGCTTGATATTGAGAAGAAGAAAAAACAAGAATAAATGAAAATTTTATGACAGTTCAGTGAAAGCAGTTCAGTAAAAGAAATCTCTCTCCTCAGTGTTTTAAATATGTATGAAATTGTCAATGAAATTTATGTCACTGAAAAAGTTCAAGTTTAAAATCTCCTTCTCAACAAGAAAATGTGATATTAGCGTGTTCAAAAAACAGAAACAGCTTTTCATTTGAGTTTAAAAACTGCCTGCATATGAGAATTTGGTCAAAACAAATCCTGTTTACTAGTGTAGGAAATGCATTACAAATTATGTAATTATATTTAACTTTTTTGAGTAACTGTAAATTAACACAAAAGTATCTGACAGATGTACAAACATACTGTACATATTTGTACATATTTGTATTTACAGTTAACATCAAGTGAACACTGTAGGAATTACAACAGTTTGCATATGTGCCTTCCACGTGTTAAGGGACCAAAAGTAATTGGACAGAATAATACCAATAAATCAAACTTTCACTTTTTACTACTTGATTGCAAATCCTTTGCAGTCAATTACAACCTGAAATCTGTAACGCATAGAAATCACCAGATGCTGGCTTTCATCCCTGGTGGTGCTCTGCCAGGCCTCTAAAGCAACTGTCTTCAGCTCCGGCATGTTCTTGGGGCATTTTCCCTTCAGTTTTGTCTTCAGCAAGTGAAATGCATGCTCAATCAGATTCAGGTCAGGTGATTGACTTGGCCATTGCATAGCATTCCACTTCTTTCCATTCAAAAAATCTTTGGTTGCTTTTGCAGCATGATTTATATCATTCTCCATCTGCACTGTGAAGCGCCGTCCAATGAGTTCTAAAACATTTTGGCTTAATATGAGCAGGAAATATTGCCTGAAACACTTCAGAATCCATCCTGGTGCTTTTTGTCCATTGACAGCCATATATGCCCATGCCATGTCACTACTACCAATGTTTCAATGCTTGAATCATGAGCAGTTCCTTTCCTGATCTTGGTCTCATCTGTCCATATGATGTTGTTCCAGAACTGTGAATGTTTTTTTAGAACTCTCCTAAAAAACTCTCCTCCTGTTTTTGAGGCTCATCAATGGTTTACATCTTTTAGTAAACCCTCTGTATTCACTCTGGTGTAGTCTTCTCTTGATTGTTGACACACATCTAGATCACAATTAGATGTTCTAGATCTGGCCAACTGTTGTGAAGGGTATTTTTTTCACCAGGGAAATAATTCTTTGGCCGTCCACCTCAGTTGTTTTCCCTGGTCTTCCAGGTCTTTTAATGTTGCTAACCTCACTAGTGCATTCTTTCTTTTTAAAATGTTCAAAACAGTTGTTTTGGCCAGGCCTGATGTTTTTGCCATATCTCTGATGGTTTTTTTTCAGCTTATGATGGCTGTCTTGATCAATTTCTCAGAGAAAATAGCCAATAATTATTTATTCTTTTGTTAGATTAGTTCCAGTTTTGGCTTTGGTATGACTAATCTAATGTATATGCGCAAGTATTATTGTAAAGCATCCTACAGGAAATATTATTTTAAAAGATATCTGTGAGGGGTTTACTCACTTATAATGAACACTGCATCTATTTTTAAGTTGAAGTTACTTTAAAATGATGTAACTGTAATATAATATTATTACCAGTTGCTTTGTTTTGCCATTCCTTCACTGGCTGCTCTCTTTTACTCATGTTGGCAGAAATCATGAGAAAGTATGTGCTGTGTGCACTGTGCAGACATTAGTGTAGATCAAGATGAATATGAACATGCATTTATTCATCTTACTTGTGCAATAAAAGCAATTCGGTAATTCTCAAAATATAAAAAAACGTTAAAGTGAAAGTCCCTGATGGGAGAGTCTTTCTTCTCCTGTCATTTCTTTATGCACAAAAGTAACGTGACATAAATACATTTTATAAAAAGTACCTAAGTATTGTCAGTTCTTTTATTATGTAATTAGTCATTTTTGTTAGGGAGGTGCACAATATATGTTGCAAGGAACTTTCAAAAAGTTGTTCTCACAGTTCCCTGAAACAAAAAATGTTCACTCACTCACTATCCTCTGGCTTAGTCAGAATCAGTTTTATTGCCAAGTGTGCTTCACGCACACAAGGAATTTGTTTTGGCTACAGAAGCTTCCAGTGTACGTAAAGTGACAAGTGACAACACAAAATAAATATGAAACAAGACAATAAACATTAAACAGAGATGCAGCTAGTCAAAAAATCTGAATGTTGAATTGTATGTACAGATTTGTGATAAATATACAGGTTATAAGGTGCTATGTACAAATGTGAATGGAGAAAGCATTGCATTGTATATTAATATAAGGTGCTATACACAAGTGTGTATAAGAAAGTATTGCACATATTTATTGTACAGTGGGGTATATTTACCTGTTTATGAGTGAGATGGCCTGAAACAAGATACTTTTCCTGTGTCTGGCTGTTTTTGTGCTTGGTCCTCTAAAGCGCCGACCAGACGGTAATAGTTCGAACAGGAAATGTGCTGGGTGCGAGGTGTCCAGAGTGATTTGTGAGCCCTTTAACTCACTCTGGAAGAGTACTGTTTTTAAAGTGTAGGAATGGTAGTGAAAGTGATTTGTTCAGCAGTCAGAACTATTCGCTGTCGGTTTTGGCAGCTGAGCCGAACAAGACGGAAATTGAAGTACTAGACGGTGATTGAAGTTGATTTATCAAGGGTCGCCACAGCTGAATGAACCATTAATTACTTTGGCATATGTATTTTATGTGGTGGATGCCCTTTTATGTGTCCAGCTCCTCTAAAAAAGTTCATAAAATGATTTTTAAAAATCCGATGTGTTTATGAGAGCTTCAAAAGTTAACAAAAAACTGTATAAAGTTATTTTATTTAATCTAACAGGCATTGTTTTTATCTAAATCGTGTCAAATTGCCATAATGTGTGAACTATTTGTACTTGCTTGCTATTTTGATGCACATAAAATAGTCTAATGTATATTTTTATTTTATCTGTCATTTTGTGAGAGAGTTTTAAAAACTAGCCGTTAGTTGTTTTGTTTTGCTCCCTATTATTTCTTTGGTTGACCTCCTGTGTTCAGTGTCTGTGCTCTTTGTGCCACACTAATATTAATCACCATGGTTACCCTTGTTTGTTGCCAAGGTACTTGATTAGACCCACCTCAATTTGTTATCTTCCCTTTCAGTGTTAAATATTCATTTGGTTGTTGGCAGTCGATTTGTTTGATTGACCTACTTTTTTTTATTATTTTGAATTGATTTCTCTGTAACGTAATGACTAGGGCCAGACGGAATCTGCGGACATTTTTTTGCCATTTCTGCGTAGAATTTTGGTCAATATCTGCTGATTTATGCGGAATGATTTTGGGAGTATTATAACTAAAACCCTAATATATAAAATAAAAAGTAATACCTTTTCAACTGTTATTTAATGTTTACAATCCATATCCAATTAGATACACTTTATTTGGTAAACAAAGCAAGTCTCTCATATAATATATCTACTAAAAGACAGAAAATATTACTTAACAAACTGTATTGTAAATAAATAATGAGAACATTTTCATATTAGTCAATATTAATACTGAAATTAATTTACAAACTTAATAAATATGAATTCACACACATTCCCACAAGTCAATAAACAGAATCAATGATGGACTAAAAATCTGCAGAATTCTGCGTGCGCAGATTCCATGTGGGCCTAGTGATGACTAAATGAGGTGCTGCAAAGCATTAAGGTTGTATCGCAAGAGGGTTCATTCCTTCTTTTTAAATCTTTTTACTACGGGTACAGTATGGCCCTCTATTGGTGACAATCATTTTATATTATGCACTAAACAGTTAGGCCAGCTGTTTTCATTTTTGCATTTGCAGTTGTTCCACAAACATCTGTTATTCTTAGCAAAAGTTCATGTGAGAAGGATAGCATAGCCAAGAACAAATTACACTTTTGATCTTTGCGGTAATTCAACACAAGCTGATTCAGTTCTTCAGTTTATATGATAAAGGTTGTGATGTATAGCAGCTCACAAGAGGTTAAAAATACTGGTACATCGTAATGCAGTTTTCTGCATCGTTTCTAACACAAACCTTTGTTATGTTTTCAGACGTTCTGGAACACAGAGAATTATTCATACAGACTGTAGTTTTATGATTTTTTAATGGTGGAAAAGATCAACCGAGGCATATTTTCTTCTTTTGTGTTCAACTGAAGGAAGATTGTCATGCTTTAAAGCATGTTTTACATATTTTGGGTTGAATTGTTCATTAAATAAACATGAAATATTGTTTAACAGAACAATGAAACATTTATTTTGCCTAGGTACATGGAAGCATCTGCCTCTACACTTTATTAAATTACTTAGAACTTGGAAAAGTTAGATCATTAGTTCACAGTTCTCCCATAGTTCTATATAGATGCCTTTAGTTTTGCCAATTCACCTGTATGGCATGTCTTTGGACTGTGGGGGAAACCGGAGCACCCAGAGGAAACCCACGCAAATGTGGGGAGAACATGCAAACTCCACACAGAAATGACAACTGACCCAGCCGAGGCTTAAACTAGTGACCTTTTTGTTGTGAGGAGACATCACTACATACTGCGCAACCGTGTCACCCATGTTCATGTAATGTTAACTTAAAAAGTTTAAGACATTTTGTCCATCATTTAATCATTCTTTTTGTGTTTCTTTCAGAGCGAGGCTCCAAGGGTCACCTAATTCTAACAGACCTCGTTGGCATGCCTCTTCCACCATCCGTGTCCTTCATCACGGGCTACGAGGGTTACCCTGCCTACTCTTTTGGGCCTCATGCTAACGTAGGCCGACTGACCCAGTCTTTCGTACCTGAGCCCTTCTTCACAGACTTTGCCATCATCGTCACAGTCAAACCATCTAGCTCTCGAGGAGGAGTCCTGTTTGCCATCACAGACCCGTCCCAGACCATTGTCCAACTTGGCCTGGCCCTGACACCCGTGGAGGACCAGACTCAGCGGATTGTACTGTATTACAGTGAGCCGAGGTCAGCGAACAGCGCAGAGGTTGCGTCTTTTAAAGTGCCAGACATGACGCAGCAGTGGAGCCGCTTCACACTGTCGGTGGAGCGCCAGGAGGTTCGTCTCTACATGGACTGTGATGAATACCACATTGCCCCCTTCAAGAGGAGCCAGCAGCCCCTCAGCTTCAAGCCTGGATCGGGGATCTTTGTGGCGAATGCGGGTAGTACCGGCCTGGAGAGATTTGTGGTAGGTTTGCGTTTTCACTCAACTCTTGAATCTTCCCCTAGAACTGCGATGAAGCCATACAGTTTAAAATCTGTGTGAAATCTAAATTTATAATGTTTATTTTGCTGTCACATGTTACTATAATTTAGGTGAACAATTCGTCTGTGAAATTTGATCTACTGCAAAAAAAGCTTTAGTCAGCAAACAATTTTGATCGTTAGCTTGCGTTTGGAGTGGCGGTTCTACTCTGTTTATGTCAGTTTGATGGCTTCAGGCACAATATTCTTAACCACGCCCTCTTACCATTAATGTGCAATGAGGGAATGATGCGTAAAAAAAGGAAAGCCCCACCTCCTTCTTAATATTCTGTTTCATTTGGAAGTATGTCATTCATTCATTCATTCATTTTCTTTTCGGCTCAGTCCCTTTATTAATCAGGGGTTGCCACAGCAGAATGAACAGCCAACTTGTCTAGCATATGTTTAACGCAGCGGATACCCTCCCAGCTGCAACCCATCACTGGGAAACACACATACACTCTTGCATTCACACACATACACTACGGCCAATTTAGCTTATTCAATTCACCTAGCACCTGTCTTTGGACTGTGGGGAAAACCGGAGCACCTGGAGGAAACCCACGCGAACGCGGGAAGAACATGCAAACTCCACACAGAAAGGCCAACTGACCCAGCCGGGGCTCGAACCAGTGACCTTCTTGCTGTGAGGCAATCTTACTCCCAACTTTGCCACTGTGACGCCCAGAAATATATCAATATACTAAAATAAACATCTTAGGAACTTCTGGGTTACGTGGATTTTAACCCTAGGGGGCAAAGAACCATATATGGTAACATAATTAATTAAAATATAATTTGAAGAGTTCAGATACAAAAATCTCCAAGTGCCATCTGAAATTGTCTTCTAATATTCGCATTTTTCTCAGGCTCCTATGTCTTGATTCAGTAATTTCTCTTTATGGCAAAGAGCAGACTATTTGCATCGCTTTCAACATGAAATAACTGAACATAAACATGAGAGGCTGAAAAAAATGCTCATTGTAGAAGAAAATTACAGAAGGCACTTAGAGGTTTTTGCAACTGAACTCTTCATTTGTGTATGTTTTATCTTAAGTCACACAACTTCAAAAGTCTTGTGATAACCTGCTGTAATACTCAAGGGTTTTTCCAAGCCCTATAAAGGGTCAAGGCAAGACACTGCAAGTAAATTGGCTAATAAAATCACTATCATCATACTTCTATTGTTGATTAATTATATTAAGTATTGCAAAAAGTTTTCTGAAATGTTTATATAGATATGCGAATGATGCATTATTTCATTACATGTGCGCTAATTTGCATGAATTTCTAGTGGAAGTTCAAAATTCTTGTTTCATTTTTAAAAATACAGGATTTGGTGTATTTATTTCATTTCATTTTCCTTCGACTTAGTATCTTTTTTTCATCAGGAGTTGCCACAGCGGAATGAATAGTTGAATAGTTTATTCAAGTTTTGAGCTATAGAATGATAAAAAGAGCTATCCAAAACCCACTCGGTAAAAACTTAGAGTCTAATATGTTATAAATAGAAGAGCCAGAACATAATAGATTTTTACAGATTTCTGTAGAACAAAAAGTATATAATCAAGCAAATGTTAGATATTAGAGCCCTTGATAAAAGCCTATGAAAAAAATATATGAAGAAAACTGGGAAGTTTGGTGTACGTGCTGCTGTATGGACATTTATAACTCAAGCAATATACAATAATAATAATAATAATAATAATAATAATAATAATAATTTTATAATTATGAACTACAAACTCAAGTAGAAAAAAGTGTCACAGTCACAGAAAACACTTAAAAGTGTATTTAGGATGTTTTCTAACCATTAGACTGAAATAAATACACTCACTTACTTTCCTTCTGCTTATTCTCTTGAAAAAACACTTTATGAAAAGCTCCAAATCGCTAAATTGACAGGTGCGTGAGAAGCATTGTGTTTACCTGCTTGGTCTCTTTCCTGCCTTTAAACACTACTCTGAAGATAAAAGATGAGCTGAATACACACTGAAATCACTTTCGCATTGATTTTACCCTGTCCTTTGCTTTTGCATTTTTTATAGCTATTGACAAGACACTGTCGTTATTAATTTGATGTGATTTTATATGACTGGGGCCTTGAGCAAATCGTGTGTCTTACACTGACTCACGATGACATTTACCTTCACCCTGACAGTTTATGATCTATCATTGATACATCCTCAAAAACATATTCAAGGTTATTCGCAAACGTCTTCTATCAACACAGAGAGTGAAGCCGGGGTGAAGCTTTCAGTGCTGGAGATTTTAGTGATAATCTTTACTGAGATTATAAAATGAGTGCTTACAGTAAGTTTTTCCTTTTACATTTTCATTTTTCATCCAACTCTCTCTTAAAGTGAATCTATAAAAACACATAGTGATTTAATAATACTGTAGAAAATATGTATTTAAAACTTATCCATTTATATACATATATTATTCTGTACATTACAATATTGGGGTGCCTTAATTATTATTTTTAATGATAATGCATCTTTTTGCTTTTTAATCAAATCCATACAGTATCTTAATATTGTTTGTTTATCAGTATTTATCATAGTAATAATTATGCAAAAAAAAAGTGTTTAAATTTTATTTAAAGTAAATTGTGAAAATCTAAAATTCTATCTATAATGAGATAAAAAGGTTATAATTAAAGCAGAAATAGAGTCATAGAAACGTTTTTATATCTTAATTTTTAAGTTGGCTGTTCATTCTGTTGTGGCGATCCCAGATTAACAAAGAGACTAAAGCCGAAAAAAAATGAATGAATGAATTTTTAAGTTTTTAGCCATTTTCAATTTGATGCATGCCTCTTTAGATATTTTATTAATTAGAACTCTATTTCATTTTTTATTTGATGATGATGATGATGATGATGATGATGATGATGATGATGATGATGATGATGATGATGAAGATGATGACGATAATGATTATTAATATTATTATTTTGGTATAATGTCATTTTTTTTTTACATTTTGGTATAAGTTCATACCAGTTTGGATATCGGCACTGGTAGGGGTTGTGCATTGGCACGAGGCTGCAGACCGAGTGCCTTAGTCTTCCGCCAGTGACGATTTACTGTACTGCCATATCGCACTCCTACGAGTACTTAATACACTACACTATGGTATAAATACAGCACTGCAACATAAAAAAGAGAGAGATCGACTTAGAAAGTCACTTACAAGTTAATGATTTGATCAGTTTGAAATTATAAGTTTTTCTCCTCTAAGGGCTTATGTCTCCATTTTGTGGATGGACAACATTAACGTCTTTGGTCTCATCAATAACAGGCTGATGGCTTCCGCACAGTATCTCCGAAATTATAAATATTTAAAATAGGCATATTATGTTGTCCAATAGCTGCAATATTTATCAAACTGTATTGAGTTTATCAATCAATACACCGATCTGCTGTCACTCTATGTTGGTGGAGTAATATATAAGGATGAGTAGGCTGTACGAGTTCTGATATTTATATATTTTTTTATTTCATTTTATTTTTTTATTTTATTTATTATTTTTTATTTTATTGATAGTTTTGATTTATTGCAGAATATCTCGCAGTTATCAGCCAATCAGAATAGAGAACCAGGCAAAACTGTGTGTGTGTGTGTGTGTGTGTGTGTGTGTGTGTGTGTGTGTGTGTGTGTGTGTGTGTGTGTGTGTATGCCCTTCCAGCCGCAACCCATCTCTTGGAAAAAAAAAAATATATATATATATATAAATAAATAAATATATATCAAAAAAATTACATATATATATATATATATATATATATATATAGTTGAAGTTAAAGTCAGAATTATTAGCCCCCTGTTTATTTTTTTCCCTTTTCTGATTGAATATATCTTTGCCATAATGACAGTAAATAATATTTAACTAGATATTTTTCAAGACACTTCTATGGAGCTTAAAGTGACATTTAAAGGCTTAACTAGGGTAATTAGGTTAACTAGGCTGGTTATGGTAATAAAGCAAGCTATTTTTGCTGATAGTTTGTTCTGTAGACTATCAAAAAATATATATAGCTTAAAGGGGCTAATAATTTTGATCTTAAATTCATTCATGCACAAATGCATATCTGTTTGGAGTTTGTTTTACTTTTTATTTATATTTTATTGAATTTTGATATTTGTCCATACCTGTCTGGAGCTTTTTGGAGAACCACATTTTATTTTTTTGGATCGTTCAGTATCTTGTATTGGTGCATACGGTCCCTGTTTGGAACCTTCAGGAGAATAGACTTTTTTTATTTGCTAATTTAATATTTTGCTGACTGCTGCTGGCATTGTTGACTGCTTATTTTGTTTTTCTACAACAGCCACCAGTCCAAACTCCTTTTTCTCAATAAGTTTTGCTTTAGACTTTGTCCTCCATCTCATTTGTGCCAGTACACCTGAAGAGCTTTTGTCCCGTGAGTTGCTGTATTGTGTTTTGGCAGGCCTGTTGTCATGGTGAAAACTTTGGGAAGACCCAATCCTCTGTGTCAAATGGCATTAACCTAGGGGCCTCCTTCAAGAAAAGAACTAACAATGAAGCTCTAACATACAGTAACAGAGAGAAACGATGATACTTTCAGACCTGGCTAGCACCCAAAAACGTCTAGAGAGTTACAATTACTGTCTTGTCCTCCAGAAAAGGCACTTTTGTGGTTGAGCCATTGTTTCCCTAAAGAGGTGATGCCAATTAAAAGTTATTGTGTTAATATGTCCTATCTGTAATAGCTCTAATTGGATTTTTCCCGTCGTTGTTTTATGGTTGTTTGGACTATGACATTTCATAACGCCTTTAATAATGAAAGTAGCCGATGGCCATCTTAAATCCGCTGTACTTGAATGGAAGTGTGGCTGAAAGAACGCATTAAACCCTAATGAGTAACGCAGGAGGTACTTCATCTGAAAGCTTGCTGATAATTGTGCAAAATGTATTACCTTCCCTTCAGCGCTGCTGGAGAATCTCTGAGCCCTGGACGAATGTGTGCTGCTGTATTTCTGCTGAACTCAATCTATGCTGTTCGATTGAAAATAGCAAAACAAATCTCGTTCTGACAGCACTTGTGTACAATCACGATCGCGGTGTGATTAAAGCTTGAAGAATGCATTAGTTTTGTTCCAAATGACGCACTTTACACTATGTACTTGCACACTATGTACTTATGCACCATGTTCTCAGCTGTTAAGTGTATGAAATGAAGGTTATTTTGTTATTCACCATTGGAGCTTGCAGTCTTGCATCCTCCATTACATTATTAAACCTGCAAACATTCGGCACATTTTTTTATTACTATTTATTTTTGTTTTGTTTTAAAGAGTATATTACAGTAAGTGCTTCTTCCATGTATTTAAAGGGGATTTTTATTGGAATTGTTAGTGTGAACACTCCACTTGTGCTATTTATACTTGAAAACAGTGTTTGAATGTATTCTCAGAAGCTCAAATAGTAGAGTTTAGCACCAGAAACACAAAGGTTGTGGGTTCAATCCCAGGCAAAGAAAAACTGATAAAAAGGTGCATTCAGTGCAGTGCATGTCATGCACTCGGATTAAACATCTGCCAAAAATGCATATGTAAAATTAAATTAAATAGTATTATTAGTCAATAAATTATTAGTTCAAAAGCTTTTAGGCTAATCTACATTTTAAGTCAGAATTATTAGTCCCCCTGTTTATTTTTTCCCCAATTTCTGTTTGATGGAGAGCAGATTTTTTCAACACATTTCTAAACATAATAGCTTTAATAACTCATTTCTAATAACCGATTTATTTTATCTTTGCCATGATGACAGTAGGCAACGTAGTGGCGAAGTAGGTAGTGCTGTCGCCTCACAGCAAGAAGGTCGCTGGGTCGTTGGTTCGATCCTCGGCTTAGTTGGCGTTTCTGTGTGGAGTTTGCATGTTCTCCCTGGGTTCGTGTGGGTTTCCTCTGGGTGCTCCGGTTTCCCCCACAGTCCAAAGACATGCGGTACAGGTGAATTGGGTAGGCTAAATTGTCCATAGTGTATGAGTGTGTGTGTGAATGTAGGTGTAGATGTTTCCCAGAGATGGGTTGCAGCTGAAAGGGCATCCGCTGTGTAAAAAAAAATGTGCTGGATAAGTTGGCGGTTATTCCGCTGTGGCGACCCCGGATTAATAAAGGGAGTAAGCTGACAAGAAAATTAATGATGAATGATGACAGTAAATAATATTTGACTAGATTTTTTTATTTTAAAGGCATAACTGTATTAATTAGGTTAATTAGGCAGGTTAGGGTAATTAGGCAGGTTATTGTATATCGATGGTTTGTTCTGACTATTGAAAAAAAAAATAGCTTAAAGAGGCTAATAATTTTGACCTAAAAATGGATTTTAAAAATTAAAAACTGCTTTTGTTCTTGCCAAAATAAAACAAATAAGACTTTCTCCAGAAGAACAAATTTTATCAGACATAATGTGAAAATTTCCTGGCTCTGTTAAACATCATTTGGGAAAAATTTTAAAAAGAAGAAAAAATAATAAGGGGGGGGGGGTGTTGGGGATGGAGGGGGGGCTAATAATTTTGACATCAACTGTATGTTGTTGTTTTCTCAGAATTAAGCCTGACAGACATTTGAATTTTATTTTTAAAAGTTTTGAATTTTTTTGTTTATTTGCAGTGCCGTTGTAAATTTCTTGGTCTTTTGCAGTTGCATTCACCCAATTTGGCCAGAAGGTGTGTTTGGTGGCGTTTTGAATTCTTCAAAGCATCAAAGCAATCTCATTTATAAAGTAGTCCAGTTATGAATTTGGGATTAGCTGTGTAACATGACATGTCTCTGAATTTGGATCAATAACTAAAGGTAGTTTCTGTTTTATTTGAGAAAACTAGAATAGCATGCACACATCGGAAGTCATAGTGTCTCCATGAAAACCTTTTAAAAGAAAGGTCAGGTTTGCATCCTAACTGGCACACTATACACTAATGCACTGTGTACTTATGCACTTAAACACTCAGCAGCACAGTATATACAGTTAGGTCCATAAATATTTGGACAATGACACAATTCTAACATTTTTGGCTCTATACACCAACACAATGGATTTGTAATGAAACAAACAAGATGTGCTTTAACTGCAGACTGTCAGTGTTACGCCCCAATGTTTGTGTACTAAGCAGTGCGAAAACAATTCAAAGTCTGACCTGCATGTATATTGTGCAGGGAAAATTGAGCATAAAACCAGATATCCCACCACTCCTGGAGGCTCTGAGAGTTTCACGCATATTCATAGTGGCTCCCTAATTCCTGCAAATTACATACAATATTCCAGAACGCAAAACAACAAGAGAGTGTGCGCTCATGTGAGCGAGTAAGAACAAGAGAGTGGCGCATGTAGCAATATAGTAAGCCTTAAATTGCACAAATAGTGCAATAAAGTACCTCTAGTGCAAGTTGCTGCTCTCAGTGAGCTGCAATGAGGCGTTTTTGGGCTACGATCCCATATTCACCTGATCCGTTGAGAGGAATAAGCACTCAAATGGTTTAATGCTGCCACATTTTCTATTAGGTATCAAAAAATTGGACATGAATACCATTTGAAGGGTCTTGCATTTATTTAACTATTACAGCTATTACAGGAAAAGTTTTTTGTGGTACCATGATTTCAGACATTTATGGAAATATTGGCTGGAAAAAAAAGAAATATACAGTTGAAGTCAGAATTATTAGCCCCGCCTGACTTATTAGCGCCCGTTTATTTTTTTTCCCAAATTTCTGTTGAATGGAGGGAAGATTGTTTCAGCACATTTCAAAGCATAATAGTTTTAGAAACCTATTTATAATAACTGATTTATTTTATCTTTGTCATGATGACAGTAAATAATATTTTACTTGATATTATTCAAGACACTTCTATACAGCTTAAAGTGACATTTAAAGGCTTACCTAGGTTAATAAGGTGAACTAGGCAGGTTATGGTAATTAGGCAAGTTATTGTATAACGATGGTTTGTTCTGTAGACTAACGAAAAAAAATTGTGCTTAAAGGGGCTAATAATTTTGTCCCAAAATTGGTTTTTAAAAAATTCAAAACTGCTTTTATTCTAGCCGAAATAAAAAAATAAGACTTCCTTCAGAAGGAAAAATATTATCAGACATTGTGAAAATTTCTTTGCTCTGTTAAACATCATATGGGAAATATTAAAAAAAGAAGAAAAAAAATCAAAAGGGGGCTAATAATTCTGACTTCAACTGTATGTATATATAATTCGGAAAAAGGAATATATATTTTTATTATTTTTTGTCTCTTTTTCTTTCCTGTATTGCTTAAGGTGATATATATTAACCAAACTTCTTTTGCATACTAATGAAGCATTTTTGCAGAAGTAGATGGAGCTGATTGTCTAAAATAACTTGAGCTCTCCAGCTAAACTTTCTGTGAGCAAAAAATTGTCTTAAACCTGAAAACAAAATATATGCAGTTGAGAAGGCTTAGGCTTTTAATGTTGTGCAGAGGATTCATAGAAAAAGAGGACGTATGTATGGGTGCGGCCAATGGAGAACTGGAGAATGATTGACAAGTGATGAATTTCCCTAAACTCCACTTGTTAATATCAACTCCCCATATAAGTCAACGTCAGGAAATGAAAACTGTTGCGCAACCCTGAATGTAACTCTATTGCATTGAGGATAACAGAATTCTGTGAATCGAATTATTTATTTGTATACAATAAATTGCTAATATGTTAAATATTTGTTTATGTTTAACATATCTTAAACATATACGTATATTTCTATGTATAATATAAAAATGGTAATTAAATGATTTCATTTACTTTGTATTTACATAAAAATTCTACTTTATTATATTTAGTCGCTTCTTAACATTCACAACACATCACATAACAAAATCAATGCAAAATAGCTTCAGCTCTACACCCAAAGTTTGTCTTTCTTTTGGTCTCTACACTTTTCCTTAAAGCTTAGTCTTTTGTCCCATTCTTATCCTTTAACAATCTAGTGAAAAGTCCAAGATCACTGTGCTTGTTTTTAGTTCGACTCTAGTCTCATATATTATTTTTCACATTCGTGTTCATTAATGCTGCTCCTATGATGCTTCTGCACTTCACTCTACACATACTCTACTGTACATATAAAAAAGACCAAAGAAAATTACAGTTTGGGTTTAACCACTTGTCATTCCACAAATATACACTGCAATCTCTTCTTTTTGTTTTTGTTTTTGTTTTAATCCACTAAGCAGTTAACCCTCATACTAATTGTCAGTGTCTGTATATCTTTTCCGTTACCTCAGGGGTCAATCCAACAGCTGGTAATAAAACCTGACCCCAGAGCAGCAGAAGAGCAGTGTGAGGAAGACGACCCCAGCGTGAGTGCACTTTCACTACTCTCTTTATTTGTCTTTTAATATATTTCAACAGCATTTGGCCATTAGAAGCATATAGATATGGATGTGTAGATTGAGTGTGTTAGTTTGTGCATTGCTCAGGGTCTCCCTCTTGTGGTGGAGTCAGTCATGGTGTGAGTGTTTTGCTCTTCTGGATGTTTTGCAGCTGCAGGCCTCCGGGGACAGAAGTGGCGATGGTGATTATGATGATGAGGAAGAACATGCGAGGCGTGAAGAAACCTTTGGGCAGACTAACAACAAGGAAAAGGTTTGTCTGAAGCAGTTCAATGCATGCTTTGCATTGCTGGTTAAACTTCAAAAAGATTATTTATTGATCTATTAATATAGTGACATACTGTGGTTTTGCCGTGGATATATCTAAGTTCTTGCACATTTTTGGATCTTATCCCAAAATATGTGAATATTTATTTATTTATTTATTTATTTATTTGTTTGTTTTACTATATCCTAGACCAGTGTTTCTCTACCATGTTCCTGGAGGACCACCAACACTGCATGTTTTGGATGTCTCCTTTGTCTGTCACATCCATTGCAGGTCATTCAATCTTTGCTAATGAGCTGGTGATCTGAATCAGGTGTGTTTGGTTAAGGAGACATGGGAAATGTGCAGATCTGGTGGACCCTCAGGAACGTGGCTGAGAAACACTGTCCAAGACCATTACACCGTCGAGTGATCTGGTTGTTTAGGTTAATTTACTCTACTTATAAAAAAGTTTGGATCAGCAAGTTAGTTTGTTTGTTTATTTATTTGTTTGTTTGTTTGTTTGTTTGTTTGTTTGGTAACACTTTATTTTAAGGGTCCAAAATAATGCATCAATTAAGCATTAATTAATGGTTAATTTGTTAACAATTAAGCATTAGTTAAAAACAAAAGCACTAATAATTATGGTTAACTAAACGTTTAAAGGGTCCCGAATTATGCATTAATGTGGACATTAACTTTACCTATAGGACATGAGGTTAAACTGATTTATTACACAATTTTAGCTATATATATTTTCAAACCAGCAGTAGTTAAACATAATTAGTTGCTTGTTGTTCAGTTAGCTTACATAATGATTTAAAAAAAATATATATGGCTTATCAAATTGTAAATAATGGTTAAAATGCCTTTGTGTTCAGTTAATCATGAATTATGTTTGCTCATGCTTAACTGATGCATAATTGTGAACAAGTTTATCATGATTTACAAGTGTTACTAAACTTAACTAATTCAGGACCCTTAAAATTTTTTACTAACCATTAATTAGTGCATTTGTTTTCAACTAATGCTTAATTGTAAACAAATTACCATTAATTAAGGCTTAATTTGGACCCTTAAAATAAAAGCAAAATGGCTACAAAAACAGCCTTTTATATTGTACAAAAATATAAAAAAAATAAAAAAAATAAAAAATGCAGTTCTTTCAATTTTCTGTTCATAAAGGAATCCTGAAAAATATATGTATTACGATTTCCATAAAAATATTAAGCGGAGTAACTGATTTCAGCAATGAAAATAACCAGTAGCAGTAAATCAGCATATTACAATTATTTTTCAAGAATAAAATAAATGCCATCAGATGAATACTTTACATTTTAGAATGTATTGAATTAGATAACAGTATTAGATATTACAGTAATGTAAACAATATATTTAATATTTAGGACAATAAATATAATACATTTTTAGATCTAAACGTACTGTATTTATCTAAAGTAAATGCAGCTTTTGTGAACTTTTATTGAACACATAAACAATTTAATTTTCAATGAAAAGGTATAAGTACTTTATTAATAAACAGGCTTCATTTTAAAAACATTTTTGATTGTTTTTTTTAATTAAACACACAAACACATAACATATTTCATAACTAAATAAGCGAGCATAAAATAAAGGAATGTTGACATAGTCATCTTGTTTTATGTGTGTTTGTTGTCAGTTTAATCATTTCTCTGTAGAAAATGTGCTTTGTCTTTGACAAACAGGAAACAATGAGGTTGACTCTTTCTTCATGGAGATAAGATTGTCTTTCATCACAGACAGAGCATCATTATGCGTACGATTTTCTTACAGTTTTTTTCAAAATCTAAAGGGATATTTAAAGTAAAAACTAGATGGTGTTTGTGAAGAAACACAATACATTAGCTTTACATTCAAATACATTTAAAAATGGCACTCCAGAACATGTCATGGCATGACATTTACACTGACTGGTCACAAGTGACATGAAAACCAATTTCAAACCTGCTGTGATGTGATGTAATGGTCTGCAATGCATGGCAGGGAAGAATTGTGGGAGAAGGGTGAGTGGTAGATCATTTTCCTCTCCTGTCTATTCTTTTCTTAATCAGTAACATCGTTAAAATTAATTCAATAAAATGCTAATTTAGTGTATAATGTTACCTTTATTTTTATTTTTATTAAAATTAAATGTATAAAAAAGATAATCTGTCAAACTAAGAACTTATGAAGATGTATAATATCATTTGCTCACCAAAAGTAAATAATTTAGACCAGTGAAGTTCAGTTAATCGGGATGGGAACTCTCTATTCACAACCCTTATAAATTAAACATTTTTAAACATTAAAAATAATCTTTTTCCTTGACCTCCAAATCAGCTTAATGATTACAGATACGTGTAATCATTAAGCAGGCAATTTGATCTAAAACAACGTAAACGAGTAATCAGAATCACCAAAAAGAGGCAAATAAACACAAAAAGTTCTCAGAAGCTTGATTCAGACATCGTTTACCAAAATGTGGACAGGTGTTGAGAATTAGCAAGTTTGCTAAAACACTTAAATAAATGCATTTGGTTGACCAGTGTAATTGTGATGTCCATGTCAAATAAATAAATAAATAAAAATAAAAAAATAGAACCAGGATAGTTCACCCAAAAATACAAAATCTGTCAACATTTGCTCACGCTTAACTTGTCTCAAACCTTTTGTTTTTGTTGGTAATGATGAACACAAAAAGATATATTTTGAAGAATGTTGGAAACTGGGAACGTTGACTTCCATAGTAGGAAAAACAAATGCTGGAATTTAATAGCTGTCTCATTTCAGAGGCTGCATCCTCTGAAGGCTGCAGAGTGCCAAGCGGAGTCCTTCGAAGTGCACACAGGCCGAACCAAGCATTTTAAAATGAGAAAATCTAGCCTACAGAGGACGGTTCTTGTCACCTAGCAACCATAACAGCTGCCGCTAATAAGCAGTAATAAAAAAATGTTCAATGTGACTTTAAAACTTTAAAAGCAATCTGAAGGCAAAACTTAACTTGGAAAATATACAGGATTTTCTTTGATCCACATATGTAAATATAAAAATTACTTTTTAAGTAACACATGCTCAGATATCCAAGTAAAACAAAACCTAATTCATACTAAAAGTGTTTTCTGGAGTTTTCCTTTAAAATCATTCCGCAGTTATCAGCACGCAAAGAATCTTGGGACGTTCAAGGTCTCGAAAGATCAACTAGTTGTATCCTTCATTACCTGGGAAACAAAGGACGCATTTGGAGGCTGCATTTGAAGGAGCCTTCGAATTTTTTCAAAGTGAGACAGCCTTTGAGGATGAAGTGCCCTTCGAATGTGTCCTTCGGAGGATGCAGCCTCTGACATTAGAGACAGCTAAAGTAAAAGAGGGAGTAAATAAGATATATGTTGCAATACAACACAGTACAATTACTGTTATTATTGCCATTTATGTTGTTTCAGTAAATTATAAAGTTGATGTTTTATTCCCTGCAGACACTAAGACCCACCTCTCCTGTTGAAGCCCCACCCATTCAGTCACCTGACATAGAAGAGGGTGGATTCTCAGGACATGTGACCCCAATAGATGAAAGGCTGCTGAGAGGTCAGAGCATACTATTTAAATCAAATTTGGAATATATAGATCTGATTATTACGTGTATTATAGTAAGATTATTAATAATATATGTGTATATTGGTGGTTTTGTTAAAAATTGGTTGTTATTCCTTTTAGGGACTTACAAAACAGATGAAACAGGGGAGAGGGTTGTGAGTGACAAACTTTATTTTTGGCTGTAACTGGAAAAAGGATGCAATTAATATAGTATCCACGTTGATATACTACTGTACTAAATACTAAAATACTAAAAGTCTGGTTTAAGGGCATTTTTTTCTGGGTTTTGACTAGGGACAGAAAGGGGAGCGTGGAGAACCTGGGCCTGCAGGGCCACCTGGACCCCCTGGGCCTCCAGGAACATCTGTCCCAATCAGACATTCAGGACAGCCTGGACCGAGAGGACCACAGGGTCCAATTGGTCAGCCAGGAGGACGAGGCAGACCAGGGAAAGATGGACAACCTGTATGAGTATATGTTTATTAGGATGTGATGTTTAGAATATGCTCTGATGACAATTTTCTTACTTGTTTTAATGACTTATACGCTTTATTTTTTTAACTATTGCATGTTTTACAGGGAAGCAAAGGTGAAGATGGGAAACCAGTGAGTATTCATTTTTTGTTGAGATATGAACTCAAGATATAAGAGCTCAAAATAAGGACAAAAAAACACTTAAAATTGACCCATTAATCCAGAACTTTGAGATGGCCAGATGACTTAAAATGTTATATAATAAAGTCTTTAATGGCCTCTGTGGTTCCACAATGGACTTTTAATATACATGGAACCTTTCCATTTCACAAAAGATTCATTGAAAAGCTTCTAATTACGAAAATGTTCTGCACACTAAGAAAAAAAAAATATTTGTGTGTATATATACATATATATATGTGTGTGTGTGTGTGTGTGTGTGTGTGTGTGTGTGTGTGTGTGTGTGTGTGTGTGTGTGTGTGTGTGTGTGTATATATATATATATATATATATAGAATAAAAGGTATAACAAACTGTAAAAAAAAAATGGCAAAACACCATGACAAGTGATGTTGGGTTATTTTAAATTATTTTAAAAAGTTGATAATTTTTTTTAATTTTTTTATTTTTTAACTAAATATTCTTTGGAGAGCAAAAAATGGTTCTTCTTTGCTATTACTGTAAAAAAAGACCTTTTTAAAACCTTTGATTTTAAGGGAGCCACTCTAAAGAACTCAAAACTTCTCCAAAGAACCTTTAAGTTTCTGTAACAGTTCTTAAAATAGTTTTTTTTTTCTTAGATGAATAATCTCTTGAAACTTTTCAACTTTTTTAGAATTAAAAAGATCTACAGATATAAAATGTTCTAATTTTTCAGAGTAAATTAAAGGGTTGCTTTTGGGTTTTTGCCTTTCACTGAAAAAATGTGATTTAGTTAAATATATGATAATAATTTTTCACGTATTCTCATGTAAAAATAACAAATGTATGTTGTTCCTAGCACATGGGCAGTTTTGTTTTACATAATGTCTGGTGATTTAGGGGGCTTGGTAATTTGCAGTGGTTTGACTCATAATGACACCCCACACAGCATTGGTTTGATTTCATACTAACTTGATTCTAGACCTTGAACAGAACACTGGTCAATATATTGAGTTTGTTATTCGTTTGGTTCTTCTTAGTTTGCTGTAATTATGCTCAGTAAAGTCAACATGCATTTTCTGAATGTGCATTGCCATTCTGAAGCTTGTTAATGTCTCTTTTTTGAGGAGAATCTGATTATTTGATCTCATTCAGTAAATTTATAAAAACACTGCACACTTATTTTCTCTCTTTCTCCCATTTCCCAAGTAAATTATCAATTGTCATCCCCTATATATGTTTTATTGAACTAATGATCTCCTCTTCGAATAAAATATATGCAGTAAACAAACGCACACAGGCTCAGACTGCAGCAAACATTAGAAAAGCCCTGCCAAACCTCTTTTCTTTGATAAGCTTACAGTTTCTTTCCTTTTTGGCAAATTTAACAGAATTACTTTTAATACTTAGTACATACGTAGATATTTTCAACTTGAATGTTGCTTCTTTTCCGTTGCTTCTAGATATTTTAACTGTTCAAAAAACAGCCTTTTATGTTGCTGTAGACATTTTAGACCAGTATATGTCGTATTATCTTAATGTACTATCATAATCATAAAAATGCTGGTATGCTGCACAGATAGTTTACCATTTCACCATACTTTCTTACTCATCTTAGTTATTTACTCTACTTACAGAATAGCGGCAAATGAATGAAAAGTTTCGCACAGGAAATTGCTTAATTCTTTGTAGAAAAATAAACTGTATACTGTAACTTAACAGAACTCAAGGCTGCATGTTTCTGTCTCTGTCTATCTTAATACAGCAGTCAACTTGTTTTTTTAATACAGGGTCAGAGAGGACAGACGGGACCTCCTGGATTACCTGGAGAATCTGGAGTCAAAGGAGAGAAGGTGAGAGATAATGGAGAGTTTTGATCATCCACAATGTGACAGTTCAGTGATCACCTCCTGCCATGACGTGTAGTGGACTTGTTTTTTGTTTTGTTTTTTCAAACGTATCATAAATGCTTGTTTTTCAAACATATCTTAGGGTGATCCTGGAGTGGGCCGGACTGGATTGCCTGGTCCACCAGGACCTCCTGGACCACCAGGGCCAAGCAAACCAGTTAAGGTTCCAGTGAGTAAATACTTGATTAAAATTATTATTTCTTTTTTATTTATGCCTATATATATATATATATATATATATATATATATATATATATATATATATATATATATATATTTGTGCTGTAAGATAAAGTAAGCTTTACCAGACTTGTTTTGTTCACACAATGTATTGGAAATCTGGTTTAAACCTACATTAAAACCTCCTTTAAACAGATACTGTAATTGACAGCATTTGATTACAGATAGAGGTGATTGCACAATATAACTGCATACAGCCATGGATGGGAGGCACAATACAATTACTGCCATTTTGTTCATGCATAAACTGAAAGACCTTTAAAGGGGTATTTAATCTAAAACAGATAAATCTATCATTTGCTTGCCCTTCTACTTCTCATAAAACTGTTTAAGTTTCTTTTTTTCTGTCTAAAAACGATGTCTCATTCTAAAAATATAGTTTCCGTGAGGTACGTATTTTTGCAGTTTTTGTTTTCGCAAATCCATGAGAGGCAGCTGTGTGCGCTTTATAGTATCTCAAATGTCTCTCGCGAGTGCTGTTTGCAATCGCTCTGTTCTCGTGAAAACCCATCAGAGGCCGCTGTCGAGCGACCGTCTGTCTGACTGATTGAATGATTGACTCTGCGACCGGCCAATCGACTGACCCACCCTCCTCCTTCCCTAAAACCAACCAATTTTACCGACTGACCGGCCCACCCAGTTACTTACCTAAATCCAACCAACAATTTGCAAAAGCTGTCCAGAAAAAGAAAAGCCCTCGTCTGATTTTTACCACATCTTCGGATTTTACCACATTCTCATCATTCTTACCTGATTTTTGGAACCGCTCTTCCCCGGACTCGAACCCGGTCATCATCGTCATGGTCTACTCCTTTCTGCATCTCAAGTCCGCTGACTTACAGTAAACGCCAATTGCTAACTGGACAAACTAGTTGTGGCAGGAAAGCCCTCCACACGGAGGTAAGCTGTCAGCCGGTAAGCACGAAAAGGCACGGCGTCATACCACCTCGTAGCGTTCGCTTAAAAAATTAAATGCAGCTATACGTACCTCCAGCTACATAATTCGCGGCATCCAGAAAAATCTACCTTTTCAGAATGAGCCTGTGTTGATTTTTCCATATTATAGATGTCAATGGTTACCCTTTCTAAGATTTTTTAATTTATCTTTTAGATTTATTCATTAATTTTCTTTGTCCCTTTATTAATCAGGGGTCACCACAGCAGAATGAACCGCCAACTTATCCAGCATGTGTTTTACACAGCGGATTCTCTTCCAGCCACAACCCGTCACTAGGAAACACTCATACACTCTTGCATTCACGCACATACACTGCCAATTTAGCTTATTTAATTCACCCATAGCGCATGTCTTTGGACTGTAGGAGAAACCGGAGCACCCAGAGAAAACCCAAGCCAACATGGGGAGAACATGCAAACTCCACACAGAAATGCTAGCTGACCAAGCTGGGGCTCGAACTAGCAACCTTCTTGCTGTGAGACATTCATGCTACCGACTACACCACCGTGACACCCTATCTTTTAGATATCTTAGATATTAGATATATTATTTTGTGTTTAAAAGAACAAAGAAACTCAAACAGGTTTGTAACCTCTTGAGGTTGAGTGTGAGTTTGTAGTAAGTAAATTATCATTTTTGCCTGAACTATCACTTTAAACCTTCCTGACACAACATACTGACACATCAAAAAGCACTCTAGAGAGGCCTTATAGTCATCATTTAGGACGATGATTTTGAACCTTTAAAATATATTTGCTGCATTAGTATTTGAAACTTGTTTAGGCGGCTGTACATCTGGTGTAGACTGATGTAGAACTCTTCATACTGTGCATACTTAATACTTAAAATGTATATTCATTTTTAATGACAGTATGGATTTGATGCACTGGGCTCTGGATTTGGAGATGCTGACATTGATACAGAACTTCTTCGGGTGAGTAAAATCAGTTTTTGAAGACATGGTTTAAGCTATTTCAGTAAGACTTATCAGCAGATATATCAATCTCTCTGACCGATAAGATGATATTCTAGGGTCCACCTGGTCCTCCAGGGCCTCCTGGGATACCCGGCCCTCCTGGTCCTAATAGCCCACTTGGAGGATTGCTCCCTGGTCCTCCAGGGGCTCCTGGCAAAGATGGCAGAGATGGGCAGAGTGGGCTCCCTGTGAGTACTGTATGCTTTCTTTTCAATTTAATCAGTTAATGGAGAAAGATTCTGGTTAGGTGTTGAGAAAGATTGATTTTCCACTTGTCTACTCTGTACTTCTGAAGACACTCAGACAACTTAAAAATTCATTCAGACAACTTCACATTAGATCAATGTAGATTAAGAAGTAACTCACTGATAAATTATTAACTCACTCAAGCAATACCCGAGACCTCCTACTGATGCTAAATGATGGTTGTAGCACAGTGCTCAGCTGATTCATGTTGTCTTCTTTCCTTCTCTCAATTTCCCAGCTGTTTGAGGACTGGTTTAGTGGGTCTGGCACTGACTCTGGGTCTGGCTCTGGTTTTGGTAAAGGACAGGCTTTGCCCTGGTTCGTTCAGGTCATTGAGCCAGTAGGTTGGAAAAGACAGCATTTTCTCTCCAACAATATCTTTTTCCTCATTTGCCTGAATGCAAACTGAGATTTTTGAATTAGTTTACATTATACCTATTATCTTGCCCAGCTCAAAAATGGATCACCTTACCGCTTACAAATAGAGTTATTTTATTACCATTATATTATCATTCTTAAACATTCTTAAATCAAGATGCAAGAAGCAATATTACATTGTAAAAAAAAAAAATTAAATCTGTTAATTAACAGTTTTACATTTTTTATATTATTTTCTGCTTTCGAAATTACCCAAGAAATACAAAATATTTTCAGTTGTTAATTAACTGATTATCTACAGTGTAGCTAAGATATAGTAGGTCTTGTTTTCTTAAAAAGTCAAATAAAATAAGGAAAGTATCTGCGGATATGTCTGCTAAAGGGCCAAGTAAAACATCATTTGAAAGGTAAACAGGACTATTTTTCTGACTCAGTTGACAAAATGTATTGTTTTCATTTAAAAAAAAAATGACCATAGTTAATTACTAAAATTGACCATCCCAAGAATCTTAATTCAAGACTGTTTATAGATATTTTTGCTAGAAAAAAAAGTTATTTAGCATCATAGCATTTTATGCAAATGTATTTTTATGGAATTTGCATTTTTTTTTTAAATGTATAGTGTATATGTTGTCAGATTTTTAGGGGTGATTTTGGTTTGAAAATACAACTTATAATAATAAATGATTAATAAATATATGCAAAAAGACCACTGGTATTTTGCTGTGACATTACTGAACACAAATGGAATAGGTAGAAAGAGGGTATACACACAGGCTGCTATGTTGCATTTCAGGACAGCTTGAAACTATGCTGCCTTTTCTGAATGTTGGAGAAAATCTGTCTTTTTCTTTTCGAACTGTCTGCTTTTACTAACACCAATGGCAACTTTAAAAAAATACATTCATCATATATAGACAGAACACAAAAATATATTTTTTTTAAATTCACTCTTTCTCCCAATGTTTAAAAGCAGGCAGAAGGATTTATAATTAAGTCATGCCATAAACAAGTGTTTCTGATCTGTTTTACCCATAAAGGGTGTTCCTGGTCAGGATGGCTTACCTGGACAACAGGGTCCGAAAGGAGCAAAGGTATGAACATAATTATGTTGTAATGCTTTTTAATAATCTCTATTTTCAGCTCTATAACTGTTGATTTCTTAAACAGGGTGAGCACGGAATTAGAGGGCCTCCTGGACCTAAGGTATGATGTTTATTGAGAACAATAATCTATATTTATTAAGGTGAATTTACTTTTGCTTGGACCTTACATAATCCACTCATTTTAGAGTACAGCTTTAAAATATACCTAATGAAAGTAAAGGTTTTCCTCTTGTTTTCTTATTTTGCCTAGTTTTTCTGTTTTTTTTTTTTTTTTTTTTGTGTTTTTGCAGTGATGCCATCAAATATTCCCCAGCACAAAAAAACAGTTTTAAAAAAATAATACAGTTTTTTAATGAGAAGGAAGTTTTATTGATCTCAATAATATACATTAAAGGTTTGTTCACACCATATATGATAACTATAAAGATAACGATAAAGATATAGTTCTAAAAAATTTTACAGTGTTAAAGACATTCTGAAAACGTAGCCCAATATACATTTCTGAAGATCGTGAATTATGTATCCAGAAGTATGTATAGCTGCATTTTGTCTTTAAAATGAAAAAGACCAAAACAAATGCCAAAAAATAAAATAAACAAGTAAATGAGTAAATGAGTGTGAGAATGGGGTAAAATCTAAAAACATGGTAAAAATCAGGCGAGGGCTTTTCTTTTTCTAGATTGCTTTTGACAACACTGTCAGTTGGGTTTTTGGAAGTGGGTGGGGGGGTCAATTAATGCTTTTGAAAAGACTTTTGGTTTGGTTTAGGAAAGAAGGAGGGTGGGTTAGTCGATCAGGCAGTCAGTCAATCAGTCAGGCACTAGCAAGAGAAATGTGAGATCTTAAAAAGTGTACACAGCAGCCTCTGAAGATTTGTGAAAACAAAAACTGGAGAAAAAAAAAAAAAACGTAGCTCCTAAACATTTCACAATCTCCAGAAATGTAGTGCTACTATGTTTGTATGTACTGCTCAGTATGTTTTGAGAATGAGCCTGGGTTGGTGTACAGTTCATGCAACAACAGATACAGAGAAACGATATCGTTGAGATCACTTTCAGAATGACTTTTCCCAGCTAATGAAATATGATAAACTGACACTGTTTCAATTTACTATGATCTTCTATGAGATGTGAAGCTCTTCTATGAGATGTGAAGCTGCTTTGACACAATCTACATTGTAAAAGCGCTAGAGAAAAAAAGATGAATTGAATTGAATAAAACACAGCCAGCCAGTCAGAATCCACTAAAAATAAATGGGCTTTCACAATTTAAAGATACAGATGGCATGGTCAAGAAACACACCACTTGATGTTAAGTCCTCTTTTAAAAGATTGTGACTATCATGGAAACAATTATTATACTGTAGCCTACCACAGTAAATTATTAAAAAAATACACTAGTCTACAGCTACCCCAAACCTAAACCCAACCTCACAGTAACCTGTTATTTTATTAAAGTCTTATACACCTACACCTACACCAACCCAAAACCCAGGAATTCACCCAATGTGCTTGCAGTGTTATCCCTCCCACTTGACGGTCTCTGGCTGTAACGATACCTGGTATATTCAAGATGTGGTAATGGGTCACAGCTGCTGGTTACAAGTGATAATGCTATATATATATATATATATATATATATATAGTTTAATGTAAATCAATGCTATTTTCCTTTGCATCTGAACATGCTTGTATTAAACCTCGTAATGCTTTTTGTTCCTCAGATTGTCATTAAAACTTTTTAAATATTTTGTCTAATTTCTCTTGCTAAAGGGTGAAAATGGAGATCCTGGTCAGAGAGGACCACCTGGCCCTTTTGGAACGATGGGACCGAGAGGTTTACCAGGACCACCAGGGCCTCCGGGTCCACCAGGGCCCATAAACAATAACTTTATGGTGGATACTTTGAAGGTCCATAAACTTCTAACTGTGTATTTAAGTTAGCAATAGATATCACAGAAGACACAGAAGGCAGATTTATGGTCATCCAACTTTTTCAAATTTCAAAATGGTCAGCAACAGGCTTGTGTTTTTAATGTATCCTGCTAATGGATCATCTGAAATATAATTACTGTGAAAAAGGTACATTCGATTTTCTAATTATATATAAACGCATAAATAGAGGTCAGGCTTGCCTGTGTGAAGTCTCTGTAAATCATGTATTTGGTACAAGATTTAGTGCAAAAAAAAAAACCATACTGAAGGCTTTGTTTGATGGAGAGAAGCCGTGTTGTCATTTTGATTGTACAGTACAGCGTTTTAAAAATCAAATCAATTTCTTCAAACAGAGCTGTATTGATTTAGAGAAAATACAGCTGTTTGAGGAACAAACACTTCAGACATCACTTTTCTGGATCGGTACACCATTTTGACCATTTAAAATCATAATTATCCCTTAGGCTTTTGAGTTTGTTTGGCTTTTATAGTCATTAGACTAAGAACAAGATGTGCTCTTTTTTCAGGATTTCGAGGGTTCTGGTGAAAGTGGTTCATTTCTCGGAACTGGAATTTTGAAAGGCTATCAAGTGAGTGTATCAAAACCATCATAACTAGTATGCCAATCTCAATTTCTGTTTACATGTCGAGGAGTTTTCATTGTGAATGCTTCATTGCTTTCTAAATACTTGGGGTTTATTTCCCTGTGTGCTAATTTTATTTCATTTGTACTCAAGGGGCCTCCTGGTCTTCCTGGCCCACCAGGACCTCAGGTTGGTTTTTAAAAAAAATACAAAATAAAAAAAATACAAATATTGTTACTATTTTTTTGAGTGTCAAAAAAAATTATATATATATATAATTATATATATATAATATCACATTATCCTTCAAGCCACCATCAGTCCATCCATCCATCTTTCCATTCATCATTTCACTCATTCACACAGCATCCTATCTATGCTTGCTCATTCCTTCCATCCTTTTCATCCATCTATTTATCCACCCATCAGTCCATTCATTCTTCAACCCATCCATGCATCCATCCATCCAATCGTCCATCATTTGCTCCATCTATCCATTAATTAATCATTCAGTTAATCCATTCCTACATCTATAATTTCACTCCCTCACTTCGCCCACCCACCTACCCATCCACCCATTTATCCATCCATCCAAACATTCATAATTTTCCCTTTCATTCATTTTTATTAATTAATCAATTAATTCATCTATTCCTTCATCTATAATTTCACTCACGCACCCGCCCACCCAATCATTCCTACAACTTTTCATTGTACCATCCATCCATCATCTCATTCATTCCTCAACCCATCCATACATCCATACAGCCAATCGTCTATCATTTACTCCATCTATGCATTGATTAATCAATTAATTCATCTATTCCTTCATCTATAATTTCACTCACTCACGCTCCCACCCACCCAATCATCCATCCATACATACATTCATCATTTTTCTATACATTTATCCATCCACTGATCCATCTATTTTTCCATCCTAATCCATCCTTCTATCCATTTATTTATCCAACCACCAAAGCATTCATCTTTCAATATATCAATCAACCCATCCATCAATCAACTATCTATTCATTCCTTCAACTTTTCATTAAATCATCCATCCATCCATTCACCCATCAGTTCATTCATTCTTTAAACTATCCATTCATCCATCTGTCCATACAATTATAATTTTTCCTTTCATACATTTATCCATCCACTGATCCATCTATCTTTCCATGCTAATCCATCCTTCTATCCATTTATTCACCCAACCACCAAAACATTCATCTTTCAATCCATCAATCAACCCATCCATCGTATCAACTATCTATTCATTCCTCCCAACTTTTTATTGAACCATCCATTCATCCACCTATCAGTTCATTCAATCTTCAACCCATCCATACATACATCCAACCAACCGTCCATCATTTACTCCATCTATCCATTGATTAATCAATCAATTCATCCATTCCTCCATCTATAATTTTCTCACTTGCCCACCCAATCATTCATCCATCCATTCATACATTCATAACTTTTTCTCTTTCATACATTTATCAGTCCACTGATCCATCTATTTTTCCATTCTCATCCATCCTTCTATCCATTTATTCACCCAACCACCGAAACATTCATCTTTTATTCCATCAATCAACCCATCCATCATATCAACTATTCATTCATTCCTCCAACTTTTCATTGATCCATCCAGTCATTCATCTTTTGATCAGTCTTTCAGTCATTGTTTTATCCATAGACCATTTAATGTGATGATGTCATAGTCAAACTATTTCATATCTGTAAGATGAGGCGATTTATTCATAACTTAATGTTACAACAGATATCATAACATTAATTAACAATATGTGGAACTTTTTGGACTCTCAGTAGTTATAGAAATTTAAAATGTAAAACAGGAAATACATCAGTACCATTGTTAGTGTTTACATCCCTCATATATCCTTCAGTCCATCCTTCATCAGTCCATCCTTACACCGATCTATCCATCTCTCTATCCTTTAATCCGTCTTTAAATCCCTTTATTCTCTGCCTGAGCTCTGGGATGCTGGAGTTTGGGCCTTCTTTCTCTCTTTTGCATGCGAGTTAAAATAAGCAGCTTATCATACAGTAATATTTGTTTCATATTTATAGGGACCTCCTGGTGCTAACGGACCACCTGGCTTGTCTGTAAAGGTTTGTATAACTACACTGTAGTCAAACTAAATAATGACACATTTATTACTTATTAAACTCAGAAGAGGCAGTTTCATTTTAAAATGTCTATCTTTCCTCTCCATCCAGGGTGAAAGAGGATCTCCAGGACCCGATGGAATACATGGATTAGCTGGTTTACCAGGAGCAAGGGTCAGTCAGTCAGCAATCCTTTTGTTTTTAAAATGATCATACAATGTTAGTAATATTTTAACACACAGATTTTTAAACCGTATTACAATGTGTTTGCACTGTCAAATGTTTTGATGCTGTGCATGCTTTAATAGTTTTGTTTGTGATTATGCAAGAGAATATGCTTATGGAAAAATGTGCAGCTGAACAATTGCTAATCAAAAGCGATTGAGAACTTGTAATCAATGTATTCTTTATTTCCTAAGAGCTTATTGTTTTTTTTTTAATAGCTAACTGATGATTTTTTTTAACAAATACATGATTAATCTGACTGTAGTAACAGTGGCACAATATAAAATGTAATATGTATGCTCATCGTTTAACGCTACCTTATTGTAAACAGGGACCAAAGGGAGACAAGGGCAATCCGGGAGAAAAGGTATTGTATTGTTTATAAGAAATCAATTCATTTAGTTATGGCATGACCTTTATTATTCTAACTAGATGATGATATTCAGTATATGCCAAGGGCACACTGTGTGACTTCAGCAGCCTGAGCTGAATTTCCCATTGTGTGTGTAGTACATGCAGTAATCCGCTGTATTAATTATGACTCAGGGTGAGCGAGGTCGCGATGGACTGAACATCACAGGTCCTCCCGGCCCCCCCGGCCCTCCTGGACCAATCATTAACTTCCAGGACGTAAGCATAAAGTCTTATTACCTGTTTTGCTACAGTGTTATGTCTGAGGTCCTAAAAAAGATAACGATTTCCAATCTACAGCTTTTTCTTAATGACACAGCTGCTAAACTGAACCTCACAAAGATCAGAGGACTGCCAGGCCCTATGGTATGTAAAGCAGCTCCCTGTTTTCACCTCAAAAGCTTTCTAAGAGACTGCTTGTTTAACATGGATAGTACAAATGTAAGCTGATAAAATTAATTCAGTAAAAAGCATGACCAGGAGCAATAACAGTTTAAGGATATATGAAGAGTTCAAATGCAAAAACCTCTAAGTGCCGTCTGAAATTTCCATCGAAAATACACATTTTTCTCAGCCTCCTTTGTTTATGTTGAGATATTTCACTTTAAAGACCAGGAAAAGGACTTATTTTTTGCCATATGTTACTGAACATACACACAGGAGCCAAATAAAAATGCTCATTTTAAAGGAAATTTTTTCAGACGGCATTGAGAGGTTTTTGCATCTAAACTCTTCATATATAAAAATGGCAAGATCTTTCCTACCCCTGATACTATGTATGCCTGGCATTTGCATATAATCTGGAATGGGTTTGTTCTTCCATCATGCTTCGCATCCATGCCATCGCTAATGCTTTTTCCGCATGCCTCTGTGTGTTTGTGTGTGTGTTGTGCATGTTGCAGGGCCCTGAAGGCTTGCCTGGCAGAGCAGGATTCCCTGTAAGATTGTCTTTTAACTTTCTGTTTGTTTTATAGATTGTTTGCAACTCATTTTGAATGTGAAATTGGGTGCAACAGCTCCTAGGGGTAAAACGCATGTTTTTAACTTGAGGGGGGGTATGTATGACTGAAATATGTGGTTTTCCATCTAGGCAGCCCGGGGTGCTGAATGATAACTGACATTGGGCAGGTTAAAAATAACATAAACAAGACAACGTTCTGGCACGGAAAACACATTTTCAAAGCAGAATATCTGACTTCAGCACTGTTTTTCAGATAAACAAGAATGTTCACTTAGCATGTTTCTTAAATATCTGCAAACATCATGGCATTTTTATGCTTTTGAAAAGTTAAAATTTACATACAGCACCTTTCATGTTAATGTGTTAAACAACCAATTTGTTAATCAAACCAACTTGTGTTAGTTTACTTGCAAAGAAAGTAAGCACAACCACAATACAGAAGTAAAATATTCTGCAAAGAATTTTAAGCTATGTGCTAAACTTGACAAAAAGGAATCCTTTTGAATGGTTTGCTTTAACTTTTGAATTTGCGATTATATATTTTATTTTTATCGTAGTGAAAAAGCATCTCATTACATCCTATCAATGGTGTAAAGTAACAAATTACATGTGCACTTTTACTTTCCTTTGAGTACATTTTTAGAGCTGGATTGGTACTTTTACTTCACTAACTTTCTTCAACCTGCAGTCAATACTTTTATTTTTTCCTGTTTATGGGGATTAGAAAAATCTGTCCTGCGATACCTGTCCAATCAAATCGCACATAGAAAGTAAATCACATCATACTGAACTACTTCAAGACATGCAGCAAACTGTTTGGAAGCATTAGGAGTGTCCAAGAATATGTACAAAATCTTTACACGTAATGCCTGTTTAGACTGAATGTCAGTGTTGAGAAGATGACGGATGTTTTCTGTATAAATGCACTACAGAATATTACGTTTACACACGCGCATCAGCCGTTCACAGCATATTATAGTCACTACTCTTGAGTTCTTTTAAAAGAGCTACGTTTTACTCATACTTTGCATAATATTTACTACAGATATTTTTACTTGCACTACATTTTGGGGCAAGTAATGGTACTTTTACTTGAGTATGATTTTTCAGTACTTTTTCCAGCACTGCATCCTGTATGTAAAACAAAGAAAGCATGCAGGCTGTGCTTTATGCTATTGTCTTGAAATTGGGATTGGCTACTTGGCACAAATATTTCTTCTTTTTTGTTGAAGTTGAAAACATTTTGTAATTTTTTTTATTTTTTATAAATCTATTGTTTCTCTCACAGAATTGCTGCAGCTAAAAGTAGGAAATGCTATTCTGTTTGTGCTCCTGTTTTTTTTTTTTGCACATTTAAAAATTAATTATTTACTGAAACTATAAGACTGTAGCTATTGCCTATTTTTTAATATTAATTTGTTTATATTTGGTTGTTTACACACAGATGTCCTGTTGTAGTGTTCTGATTCCAAATCATTCATCTGCTTTGTGTGCTGATAGACATTGAAAGTGATGCACAGTCTTTTTTCATCTGTTTTTTACAGAGTAAAATAGACCTATTGTAAATGCATGTATTTCATAGCCTGATTGTCCTATAAGCTCACAATTAATAATAAAAGTGAAAATATAAACAAGTCACTTTAAATCACTTTAATGTAATAAATTAAATGTATGAAAAGCCTAAAAATAATAGATATTAGTTGCTGTATAATGAAGTGGAATGGGGGAGTATTGGAGTATTAAAAAGCTGAAACAAGAAATGTAATAATTACTTAAAACATAGGCCCCGATTTATTTATTTATTTATTTATTTATTGACTTTATTCATGCTAAATCAAAAAATGAAAAAGAATTAAGTACAATATGTTAATTTTGTTCACACTGCCTCGCAAAACACTATCAAGATGAAATATTGTTAAGATTAGACAGGTTTTATGGTGTCTTTGTATCGGTGTAACTATATTCAGCCTTATTTAACCGCATTTATTTGTTATAGGGTTAGGGTTAGGACACAGGTTAGGTTTACTTGCATAATGAAAAGTGTTACATTGTCCTGGTAATGTAAATTGAATATAACATAATAGTCCACGTATACACAGAAGATATTGTTTTTTCCTGGTGGCTATGAAACAATAACTATTTCTGTTATATTGTTTTAATTAATGCAGATTTAAGCTTAATTGATTCTTTTAAATGTCATATGATTTTGTGTAGAACATTCATAAAACATTTATAACTGTGAATGTTGTAATTCTCAGGGCCCAAGAGGACCAAAGGGGGAAATTGGGTTTCCTGGTGTGCAAGGACCTCCAGGACTAAAGGTATGGTTTTAAAATATGATAAGAAATAACCTGCTATGCCATAACAAAGAACAAACTCTCCCATCGATACCTTTTTGATGTAAATGATGCATTTTCTAGTGAGGATGTGTTCAGTTTTCAAGCATTCATCAATCTGAGCTGCTGTCTTTCGCACTGTAATTTAACTGTCATATCTGATTGCATACTGTAAAGCTTCTCTAAGCTATATTTGAAGACCAGACATAAAATGTCCCTGCCATCTGAGAGATCAATAAAATGTGTAGCAGTCTATAGGCACTCTAAAAGCCCTCACTCTTTCTAACCCATTTGAGCTAGCAGAACTTTCAGTATAACAGTAGTTCTTTATTGAAAGTGGGCATTTTTCTCATTACTGCTCATTTGTCACACACTGTTTGGATTAACTGGTCGGGATTGGTCTAATTTAAGGTCTTATAAAATATGATTTATTGTATTGTCTTAAAGGGGGACAAGGGTGAGCCAGGTGTATCCATCGCTGCTGATGGCTCTATAATCACAAGCCTGCGAGGACCCAGAGGACCAAAGGGAACCAAGGTTTAAATCAATTATTCTGCAAAAGTGATGGAATTTTATTGAACTTTTTATTTTTCCTCAGCGATCTGATATTGTTGTTATTGTGTTTTGCAGGGAGACATTGGTCTTGCTGGCCCACATGGGATTCCGGTGAGATGCTTTTTTAATGCTGAAATAAAAGGGCTGTTTATTTATGTGACCTTAATTAATTAATCATGGGGGAAATAATGTGTTAAAATGATTAATGCACTTATCCCACTTCCAGACTTGTGTAAGTCATACTACATTGCATTCAGTTAATTGGTGATGAACTTGATGCAGGAAAACTAAAACACACTCTAAAGACTACAGAATGTCAAGCAGATGAAGTCAGAATTATTAGCCCCGTTAAGCTATATTTTTTTCGGATAGTCTACATAAAAAACCATTGTTATACAAAAACTTTCCCAATTACCCTAACCTGTCTAGTTAGCCTAATTAACCTAGTTAATCCTTTAAATGTCACTTTAAGCTGAATAGAAGTGTCTTGAAAAATATCTAGTCAAATAATATTTACTGTCATTTTGGCAAATATAAAATAAACCAGTTATTAGAGATGAGTTGTTAAAACTATTATGTTTAGATATGTTGAAAAAAATCTCTCCGTTAAACAAAAATTGGGGAAAAAATAAACAAGGGGCTAATAATTTAGGGGGGCAAATAATTCTGCCTTCAACTGTAAGCCTTTAAAATTTAAGATATTCAAGAAATTTAAGGTAAAAGCTCCCCATATGATCATGTTTGTATTTTATAATATATAGCAGTTCCACAGCAGAACTGTCTCCAATACTGTGATTCGTTTCTGAATAAATCTATATTTTGAATGAATCAGGTGAACCAGTCATTCACTTAACCATTCATATAAAGATCTGTTTACTTCAATGATGGACGAATCAGCCATTCAGACTCACAAAAATATATTATACTTAAAACTTTATTATATACAAAACGTTGTTTTTTTGTCTTTAGGGGCCAATTGGACCACCTGGACTAAAAGGGGGATATGGAATTCCTGGTCGACCGGTTAGTTTCAATCATTCTTTTTATGTGTATTTGTGTTGTGTATGTGTACTGGTTTTGGTAATTTACAAGGTTATTTTTTTAAGTTGTATTCTAGTGGTTTACAAGGACATACCTGATATCCTTGTAATTCAAAACACTAAAAATCAAACCTAATGGGGTCTTTTCCTATTCAAATATTGCCACAGGTTTCCTGTGAGGGTTGGGTTTAGGGTTAGGGGTGAAGTAGAATAATATAGTAAGTGTTTTTTACTGTATACATTACACCTATGGAGTACCCGTGTTAATTTGTAGTTTTTAATCTCATAAATGCTTATTTCCTTAAAGGGTCGACCTGGAATAGCTGGAAGGAAAGGGGACAAGGGAGATGCAAGTGGTCCCTCTGTAAGTTTTTGTGTGTGTGTGTGTGTATGTGTGTGTGTGTGTGTGTGTTTGTGAGTGTTCATTTTGTTTCATATCTTACAAACTAATTATTTATAATGACTCATCTATTTTAAAGGGTCCACCAGGTCCACCTGGACCTCCAGGGCCACCAGGACGAGTGATTGGCCTCAATGGAGTAAGTTTTAACCTTTTAGCACATTTGATGTGCGCTGAAAATGAGCATCAAATTGTGGGTTATCCTAACATGTGCAGTTTTCTCATGAAAGTCATGAAATGATTGTGCTCTGAATCTTAAAGACAGTTTTCCCAGTTCCTCCTAGACCACACTGCAAAACGCCAGTAAGTTAATAATTGAGGGGTTTGGCTTTGGGTATGGCGCATGTCATTCTGGCTTGGCTCCTCCCCTCATACACTAGCCCTGCCTACTTCACTGTCTAAGGTGCTTTGGATTATTTCTGGGCTGGCTCAAGGTCTAAAAAACAGCATAGAGCAAGCTTAATTTACAAAACAGATCAATATATTTAAAAGGGACAGCACACACAAAAATTATAATTCACTGAGAGTTTAAAAACAACACATACAGGCTTAGCAAAATGGCTTCTGAAGACACATTGAGGACTTAAAAAGCAAAACAATGGGGCTGTACAAGAAACTGAATTTAATTCACAGTGATTTTTTTAAACACAGCCAGTTTGGAGTCAGTGGTCATGGGTACTGATTTTGCTTTGCTTCTATGTATTTGGCTTTAAAAGTGCTGGTAGCCCTTGACTTGTCTTTTATTCTTAAATGTTCTACTGAAGAAAAGAAGACCTACATTTGTGATTTGTAAATGACCAGCAAATCTTCATTTTTGAGTGATCTGTCCTTTTAAAGACTATATTTTTAGCTATTCGCCAACTGAATTTTGCCTGCTTTATGCTGCTATTTGCAAATGTTTCTCAATGGTCCTTTAACCCAATATCTCATCTAATTTCATCTGAGATGCTCGTCTAAGCTCAGCAGAGCATGTTGCATGAGCTCTTACTTTTGTTGGGCTCTGCTGTGAATTAATGGGATCTGTTGTGCTGGGTATATTTTGCAATGCCACACTAACAAAACAGTTCATTGCTGACATTTGCTGGCATGGATTCATATTCATATTCACATTACATTTCATTTAACAATGTCACTTAAACACTGTTTAATGTATGAAATAGTTTAATATTATACAAATGCTTTACAGGTCAACAACAACAATTCACAACAAGGTACAAGCCAAATCTCATTTGTAAAAATTTTCAACTATTTATTTATTAAGAGTTGTTGAGAAGGATATAAATATGAACATTTTCCCTCAGGAGTCAAAGGGGAAAAGGGTGATGAGGGAAATCCTGGGTTGTCAGGTACTCCAGGTATGATAGAAAACGACTTATATTGGAAAATGAACCATACGCATGTGCAATGTGTATGTCATAACATGTAATGTCTGTATGCCACTTTTTTTTGACTACTTATCTGTGTGTTCTTCTTTTCCACAGTCCCCCATGCTTATGTGGTAGGTACTTTTAATATCACACATACCACATGAAAAACATGCTTCATCTTTCTATATAAAATTAATATAAACAAGCTTATATGTATTATATGTATAAAGCTTAACATTTTAAAACAGGTCCATTCACATTTCGTTATGAAATCAAAGATGACAATTAATATGTATTCTTACTACTTACTTACTACTGTATTTATTAACATTATTTATCTGTGCAACTTTTTTTTGAAAGGTCACGTGCATTTACAATATTGTTTCCTGCCAAAGAATATATTAATACTGAGAAGATTATCAGACTCAAATGAAAAAAAAAAACTACTTTGAAGAAAGAAGTGCAATTCATATACTTTATATTACCTGAATATTAACATATTGTGGATTCTCAACACAGAGACAGCTACATTTTCTTTGGCCATTGTTGTTGATGATGTTGAATGTGTTTTTAAGGGTCCTAAAGGTGATAATGGCTACAATGGGCAAAAGGGAGAGAAAGGTGATCCAGGTTTGCCTGGCCCTCCTGGACTTCCTGGGAGAACAGGCCTTGTTGTGAGTCTGCTAAAAACAAAACCATTTAAAACAAATACTAATATCTAAAATCTCACTACATAACTGGACAAATTAACATGAGACTTCAATCCCATAAAAGTTCTGATGTGAGGATGTGAGAAGTTGTTTTTGTTAGCAGAAAGTTGCTAGGCAACAGAGGCATGCATAATCAAAGGCAAAATAAAAAGCAGAGGACACTGAAATGCATTTCAGCTTAATTAATTTAACTATTATGACCATTCAAGGTAGAATTACACAGGATTATTTTGTGTTTTGTAATTTGAATAAAATAAAGTTAATTATAATTTATAAGGTAATGGTAATGGTAATGTTATGATGAAATATAGGAAAAGTCAGGGTACAATACTGCCTCTGTAGTTCTAGTGTTAAATGTGGTATTAAAAGCCATGGTATGTTTATGCATTTCAGGGTCCTAAAGGGGAATCTATTGTTGGTCCTCCTGGAGACACTGGTGCTCCAGGACCTCCAGGACTGCCTGGGTATGGAAGTCCAGGACCACAAGGCCCACCAGGAGCTCCTGGCCCTCCAGGAACCTCATCACTATACAGCTCAGGTGACAGCAAACCCCTTCTGTGTCAACTTTTCCAAACATTTTAGACAACAAGCTTCAATGTATTCTTAATTCTTGTGTATTGTTCAAATTGCCTAACCTTTTATTATGTTCATAGCTGTTTTTGTTCCATTGACCATTATAAACTTTGTTATAAACATTTTTGATTGCAAAGAAACAACACCATATAATCATGCATTCTTGTCATCGTTGTTGGTTTTCCTTGTTGGAAAGAGGTCAAATTTGTAGTTTTTACTGTTGATCATCAGTTGGTACCTTTAACCCTTTAGATAGGCCTGTGCAAAGAAAACTATATGGAGTTCTGTAGAGTAAAACAGTAGATTATAGTGTGTGTACATAAATACACTTACTGCATTTACTATGTTCTGAAAGCTGAGGTGCTTGAATTTAAATTTATAAAAGTCATTATAATGGAAGCCAATTGGGCAAAAAGCGTTTGTAATGTTGACTTTTCAAAAACAATTCAAAGCATTTTTCCAAAATATGTGTTAAACTAGGGGCAACTCAGTGGTTAGGTCAGTCGCTGGGTCAGTTGGCATTTTTTTTCTCCGGGTGCTCCGGTTTTCCCCACAGTCTAAAGATATTTGGTATAGGTGAATTGAATAAACTAAGTTGGGTGACTGAGTGTGTATGGATGTTTCCCAGAACTGGGTTGCAGCTAGAAGGGCATCCATGGTGTAAAACATATGGTGGACAAGTTGGCATTCTGCTGTGGTGGCATTCAGCCTGACGAATAAAGGAACTAAGCTGAATGAAAATTAATAAATGTGTCATAATAAGGTTGTCACATAGAATGTAAAGACAGATGGACGTAATATCCGTGCATCACCCATAGGTTTCTGAAGAGCGTAAATGAAGCTACAAGTGGCGTTTCCAATCATGGCCATTTTGTTCATGCGTCATCGCGCCATCCGAGGGTAGCTGAAAATGGGCAAAGAGGCAGAGCATGAGCATAGCTATAGTGATGCCTGCTGGTATTTTGCTTAGATGGGGTTTATCCTGGGAAAAGCACTCAATACTTTATTAAATTCGACTGGTTTGTGTTCTGACTACATGTAATTGGTTGTAGACTATATCAATAAAGTGTTTATAGTGTTTGGTCTTTTAAAAACACTTTTGTAATACATTGAGCCACTAAGCATTGTTCTAATGACATTTTTTTACAGAAGGAAAAATGTGAATTACTTTTTAATACTTCAAATATAGTCTGTGTTAGTAAATGCAAGGCTATTTATAAGATCCAGCATAACACTGTGTGACAGTGTTTCAGATGACTGTTCTAGAGCCTACAGCTAATCAATCTGTCAGATTCTGGCTACACTCTTAATTATGCAGACTTGATATGAATTAAAGAATGAGTTATAAAAATATTCACTCTTCTCATAGTTGTCATGAAGGGAAGCTACAGTTGAAGTCAGAATTATTAGCCCCCCTTTGTTTTTTGTTCTTTTAGTAAATAAATATTTAAATTTAACTATTTCCCAAATTATGTTTAACAGAGCTAGGAAATTTTCACAGTATGTCAGATAAAACTTTTCTTTTGGAATTAGTCTTGTTTGTTTTATTTTGGCTGGAATAAAAGCAGTTATCAGTTTTTTAAACACCGTTTTAAGGACAAAATTATTAGCCCCTTTAAGCTTTATTTTTTTAATAGTCTACAGAACAAACCATCGTTATACAATAACTTGCCTAATTACTCTAACCTGCCTAGTTAACCTAAGTCTTTAAATGTCAATTTAAGCTGTATAGAAGTGTCTTGAAAAAGATCTAGTCAAATATTATTTACTGTCATCATGGCAAAGATAAAACAAATCAGTTATTAGATATGAGTTATTAAAACTAATACATTTAGAAATGTGTTGAAAAAAATCTTCTCTCTGTTAAACAGAAATTGGAAAAAAAATAAACAGGGGGTCTAATAATTCAGGGGGGTTAATAATTCTGACTTCCAACTGTATATGCATTAAAACCACATATTGTAGCAGGCTGTAAACATGTTTTTTATCAGTTGTAAAATTGGCCAGTTTAGCATTGCAGTCAGTAAACATCTGGAGTTTCTGGAGCCAGACACCAGTGGCCAGTCAATGAATTGCAGTTTCAGCTACTTCCATATTTGATTTATGAGGGAGAGCAGGATGTTACTGCTTGGTTTGTCACCAAAAACCATTCAATTTCTGAAACACAGACATTTGTGGCCACATTAAGACTCAAAATCCCCCCCCTGAGTGGACGAAAACATCCCCAAGAGCACACAAGGGTTAAATAGATTTCCCTTCAGCAAGTGTAAAGCCTAATATCAGTAACTTACAAAGGCATCAAATTTGTTTTACAGCTGCAAGTCTCCCCGGACCTCCTGGACCTCCAGGGCCACCTGGTGCTCCTGGCTATGGAAACCCTGTAAGTCATATGGTACAGTGTGGAATCAAACTCATAAAAGATTAAGCATGCCTTGACTTTGTGTTTGTGTTTGTGTGTGTGTGTGTGTGTGTGTGTGTGTGTGTGTGTGTGTGTGTTTGTCTGGATTATGAATGCTTGTTTTGTCTTTCCAGGTGAGCACATATAAAAACAGCCAGACCTTGATGAGAGAGAGCAGCCAAGCAGCAGAAGGCACAATGGGATATGTTATTGACAAGAGTGAACTGTACATCAGGGTACGAGGAGGCTGGAAGAAAATTGAGGTATTGACTTACTTTCACATTTTCCTGTGTAAGAATGTCTTTGTTGTCTGCTTGTTAAGATTTTTTTCTGTAACTGTGTTTTTTTTTTTAGTTAGGAGAGCTAATCCCTGTTCCCGAAGACAGTTCCTCTTCTGCTTTGTCACAAGGCCTGAGCAGACCCAGCGACCGCAGCGTACCCAGAGTTCATAGTCAGGTGTGGTATATATGTAGGTGATCATGTACATTTATCCAGTTGTTCTCAGTGAATAATGCCTGAAGCAATGTGCAGAATGTACATTATCTCACTTATTACATGGCTGCTTTCCACAAAAGTAAATTATTAGAGAGAAACTAAAATGATAAACAGTTGTTACAAACAAGACACCAAAGAAAGAGAACAAAAACCATGATCTAGAACACGTGTCAAATTCAGTTCCTGGAGGGCCGCAGCTCTGCACAGTTTAGCTCCAACCCTAATTAAACACACCTGATCAGACTAATTAAGTCCTTGAGGCTTGTTTGAGACCTACAGGTAAGTGTGTTGAAGCAGGGTTGGAAGTAAACTGTGCAGGGCTGAGTTTGACACCCCTGATCTAGAAACTAAAGAGACATAACTGTGCAAATAAACAGAACACAGTTGTGAGAAAGTTTCAATGTTAGTTGTGTTTATTACTGTTTTGAAGTTTAGTTCTTTTTTTGCATTTAGTTTTTTTTAATTTTGTAATGTGATTTTGTCTTGTCTATACCTGTCAACCAAATTTAGTGATTTGGGGAATTTTCTTTGGGATGGGGTATCCCGTATTTTCACATCCCAATGTTGACAGGTATGCTTGTAAAAAATGTAAAAGTAAAAAAAAAAATAAATAAAAAAAAAAAAATAAAATATATATATATATATATATATATATATATATATATATATATATATATATATATATATATTCAATTGTAGTATTGTAGTCATTTAACATTGAGTTTCCATTAGCTGCAACTGTAACATCTGAGATTTGTATTTTAATTTAAATTTGTTTCATTTACTAAACATTTTTTATAATAAAATTTAGATGTTAACTTTGAATGTTACATAGCCGACACTGTAAAAAGCAATTAGTTGACTTTACTTTAAAAAAAAAAGTTAACACATTGTCCTATTTTTAATTATTAAGTAAACAAACTATGTGCATAATTATTAAGTTAAGTTTAGCCAATGGGTTTTCTGTCTTTTTGAAGTAATATCAGCTTTTCAGGCAACAGGTTTGCCCACTTTTTAAAAGTAAAGTAACTACTCGCTTTTTACCGTGTAGGTAACCTTATAAATCCAGAGTAAATGACTATGAAAAATTAAATAATAAACCAATTAGTTACACAATATTAGCTGATAACCAATATAGCACAGATCTTGCTATGATTTTAGAATCATTGCTTTTTAAGTGAAGTTTATTTATAAACTAATTTTGAGAGGATCACATGCTTATGATTGACCACAGCTGATCCCGCATTAGACAATACATGATTCACCAATCAGACATTTACTAAGACACCACACTAAAACCCAAAAGTTAACTTTATCAAGTGAAATGAGTGTCGTTAACTCAAAATTTATTGAAAGTTAATTCTACTCATTTGAAAAGAGTTTTAAACTCAATTAAAGTCAATTAAACACCTAATTACTTCAATTAAAATGCAGTAAGTTCACAGAACTCATATAGATTAGTTTTTGAACTCAAATGTTTTGTAGCAATCGGTTTCCTAAAATAGTTTGAGTTATCTTAACTTTTTGGGTTTTACATCGCGTAAATAACCAAAGTTCCACACCACAGTCATCTTCGTTTTGAAGAATACCCCCTACTCCATACCACCCCTACTCCTTCTCCTTTCTTAGACTGGACAGCACGGTGGCCCAGTGGTTAGATCTGTTGCCTCACAGCAAAAACATCACTGGTTAGTTCTTACCAAGCCAGTCGACGTTTCTGTGTGGAGTTTACATGTTCTCCCTGTGCTTGCATGGGTTACCCCCGGGCCCCCTGATTTCCTCCCACCATCTTAAAACATGTGACTAAGCTAATTGACTAATCCAAATTGGCATAGATGTGCTCCTAGTCAGTAGTTCTTTCTTCATAGCAATTCCTAAATGTTCATTAGTTGACCCACACGGAATATGCGTGTGCAGAAATCAGCAGATTTCCTCCGATTTTTATTTTCTATTTATTTACTGGTGTAAATGTGTGTTAATTTATATTTATTCAGTTTTTAATTGAATTTCACTAATATTATCGTGATATAATAATAGCAATGTTCATATAATTTATTTACAATACATTTTGTAAAGGAAGATATGATTTGAGCAACTTGCTATGTTTTCCAAATAAGTGGATCTAGATGGATTTGCATTGTAAGTATTAAATAAAAGTTTAAAACGGATTATTGTTGTTGTTTGTTTTTTCATATATTAGATTTTTAGTTACGATACTCCCAAAATTATTACGCATAAATCCGCAACCTTTTTTACACAGTTTTGTGCCGAAATAGCAAAAAATGTCTGCAGACCCTGTCTGGCCCTAGTCATTAGCTATAAACAGCAGGGGAGTTCTCAAGATCTACCTGAGCTCAAACTCCCCTCGAGGGAGGGAGTCCAGGCTCAAGGATCTTATGAGCTCAGCGCTCTCTTCAGGGACAGCATGCCAAACATGCTTTAAAATCAATCATCAGCTAAGTGTGAACTCTTCAACTTAAAATATTCCAATATTCTGGAATCAAAATGTATTGTAAGTTGTGATATTATATACAGCATCATAATGTCTGATACGAACCTCTAATGTTTGTTGCAGGAGTTAAAGAGCTTTCTGCCAGGCTATAATCTTCTTCCGGACACTACACACTCAATGCCTGCGGTAAGGATTGATTAAATCTTGTTGCATCTTAAATAATTGATTCCAAAAGGTGTACACTTTGACATGACCTTTGACTCTCGGACTTCTCAGTTGCACTTGGTGGCTCTCAATGCCCCATTCTCAGGAGACATGCATGGCATCCGCGGGGCAGATTACCAGTGTTACCAGCAAGCCAGAGCCAGAGGCCTGACATCCACATACAGAGCTTTCCTTTCCTCTCATCTGCAAGACCTCTCCACCATCGTCAAGAAAGCAGACCGTTTTAACTTACCGGTGGTGAATCTAAAAGTATGTAAAAAGAGTCACTCAGCGTAGATTGCAATCAAGGTTTTTTGATGAGTGCAGTCTTGTTGGCTGTTCCATGTCTGCCTGTCTAATTTGAACATTTTCTCTAGGGAGAAGTGCTGTTCAGCAGCTGGATGGCCATGTTCTCTGGTAATGGAGGCGTTTTTGATCCACTTACTCCGATTTACTCCTTTGATGGACGAAATGTCTTGACAGATCAGGCTTGGTAAATAGCTTTCATTCATTTTGTTTATTTTACATTTTATACTAATTCTTTGAAGGTCTGTTTTTTAGGACAGTGAAAAGGATGTTTCACCAAAAAGCATTATCAATATATCAAAGGAGATATTTTGAAGAATGTTAAGAAACTAGTAGCTGTTGATTTCCATATTATATTGTTTTCTTACAATGCATGTCAAATGCTATTGGTTTCCAACACATTTTCAAAATATCTTTTGTGTTCAACACAAAGAAAAAATCAGAATACATCTTCACTTTTAGGCAAGCTACTCCTTTAAATGTCTATAAAAAGTATAAAAAGTTACAGCATTTATTATCATTTTATAATTCAACTTTTATCACAAGTAAGTTATATCACAAAAAATAAAAAGTACAAAAAAGGTAAAAAAACACATTTGTATTAATGTGAGAGAAATGAGAGAGAGTATTTGTAAAGAGCTCTTCATGCACTGCTAGTTTCTCTGTAAATTAGTTTAGATTTGAAGTTTTATAATAAAAGTTGTTTATAGTGGATGCTCTACAAAGTATACTTTATTTGTGAACATTGTTAAAATTAAGGTATTATAAATGTATTATAAATAAAGAATTTGTAGCGAGAAAAACTGAAATAAGTGTTACAGTTTACGAACATCTTGTTTTTATTAGGACCACTGGTAGCCTATTTTGCGTCAAATCTCAATTAAAAATTGACTTAGGGGCATTTATAGGAATTAATTTTAGCAAAAAACTATTTGTTTAGTTTTGCAATCTGAAAATGCATCTTGTGAAAACTGGATTTAAAATGCACATTTTTGAATGTGATACCATTACTTAAAAACACTTGAAAATGGTGGTGGCATAAGCATGTATTTTATGTGTTCATAATATAATGGCCTGCATAAATGACAACAATGGTGAACTACAGGACTGTCAGCACATTCCATGCAGAAGGGTTCATGCCTACGCCTTAATCCCTTCAAAGTGTTCACCCTACGGAGTGGCTGCTTAAAAGAAATTAGACATAGTAGTGAGCCCTTCCGAATGGAATGTGCCGTTTAACACCAAACAACTTCCCTGTGCATGTTCCATGGGAGCCCAAAGTGCCCATAAGTTGTATCCTTCGAAATCCTTCGTTAAACACTTCGGTTTATAACAACACCTTAGTATAGCGGCCATCATTGTTTTCACTCTGAAGTGCCCTTCGGGAATGAGTTCTAGAAGCGATACAGCTTATTATTTTTATATTCTGTGAGGATTGGGCTTATGGATGGGGTAGGTAATAATACATTTTATTTTTTTACGTTTTATTTATAATGCGCTTTTCTAAGACCCAAAGCGCTACAACATCAGAGAAATTAAACATGCAATAAAATACAAGTATATATATATATATATATATATATATATATATATATATATATATATATATATAAAGTTCTAAAATATAAACGCAGAATAATCAAGAATCTAAAATGCAGTCTTAAAAAGATGAGTTTTTAGCATCTTCTTAAAACTAGCTAGTGTGGGAGCATTTCTAAAAGAGTAAGGGAGAGCATTCTTTTTAACTTTCGTTGTTAGGTCGCTTATTAGGTGTTAAAAAATGCTATAATTGGAAATTTAATTCATAATATGAATAATAATCGGAGCAAGGAATTTTTCACAGTATTTCCTATAATAGTTTTTCTTCTAAAGAAAAAGTCGTGTTTGTTCTGTTTTCAACTAGAATAAAATCAGTTTTTTAACTTTTTTTAAACAATTTTAAGATTGATATTAGTAGCCCTCCCTAGCAATATTTTTTCGATTGTCTACAGAACAAACCACTCAAACAATAATTGCCTAATTACCCTAACCTGCCTAGTTTACGTAATTAACCTAGTTAAGCCTGTAAATGTCACTTATTAGTATTTTGACAAATATCTAGTCAAATATCATTTACTGTCATCATGGCAAGGATAAAAGAAATTAGTTATGAGAAATAAGTTATTAAAACTATTATCTTCAGAAATGTGTTTAAAAAAATCATCTTTTCAATAAACAAAAATTGGGGAAATATACATGGGGGGGGGGTAATAATTTAGGACGCCTAATAATTCTGACTTTAACTGTATATATAAATATAATTTTTTGGAGAAATATCAAACATTATTTATAAATTTGTATTTAATGCTCTAAGAAGAAACCAGATTTAATACGCTGTACTAAAACCCAAGGTCTCAGAAGCTGGTGTGGCACGGGTCAAGTACGGTGGGCATCCGAATGACAACAAACTACTGCGAGGCCTGGCGGACAGGTGACATGGCAGTAACCGGACAGGCGTCTCTCCTTCAGACCGGCCGACTGCTGGGACAGCACACACGCAGCTGCTCAAACCACTTCATCATTCTCTGCATCGAGAACAGCTACATCCAGCACCCTGGAAGGAACTAGAAAGCCCAACGTTTACAAGTAATTGAAAGCAGCAGTAGCTGGACTGCTGGGGAAAATTATCCATTCTCCTCCTTTTTAGCTCCTGGGAGAAATAACAAGCCAGGAAAAAGCCAGGCACTGCATTGGTCTTTCACTTCTTGTCTGAGCATGATGTAAATATGTATAAATCACCCACTGGTATTGTTCAATTGAAGACCCACCGACTTTCATTCAACTATTAGAAAACCAAAGAATACCTCAGTCAGACATCTATGAGCAAGTGTAGATCCACTTTATGAATTCACCACATTATTTTTTTGCCTTCTAAAAAGGTTTTAGCCCTCATTACGATCACTAATATAGCTTTGTGTGTGTGCTTGTATTAACTACATTGTTATAACCGCACACACTGATAGATACAAGACACTTACTTTTAATCAGATTAAATATATTTAGATATCAGTATTTGGGTATATTCAAACAAACGAGGGAGATGTTTAAATGCACTGTATTAATAATTTCTTGGGTGTTGTTATTTTATTTTTGGTTATAGTTTGTTTTGACACCCATGAAGCTCTATTCTGTGAACTTGCATTTAAACTAGTATTTAAGGGAGGCGATGCGTCTAATTTATGATGTTAATGCACATAACTAAAACCCAAGTGCATAATAGATACTGATTTAGAAAGTAGACAATGGCCACAATCATTTATAACTCATCACTGTGTTTAATCTCTCACATTTAGAAAGGCAAACTAGAAAGTAAGTTATGTTATTTGTATCTTCTAGAAGTCAAATAGGAGTATGATACAGCAATAGAGAGATACCCTCGTTTTCTCCTTTTTTCAAATTTGAATGGTGCTCACTGAATAAATTTTTGTTTTATAAGTATGACTTGTCTTTCTTTTAGATTTAGAAAAAAAGGTTGATGTTGTGGAGAATAACTTACCAAGCCGGATGTACAGGACCTGTTCCTGTATGAGTTAATTACTGTTTTGGGTCTTTTAACAGTTTTAGAATTTAGTCACACATAAAGAACATTTTTCACAGTATTTCCATATTTGTTCTCAAGAAGTCCTATTTTGTTTGGTTTGGTAATAAATTATTTTAAAATATGGCTGCACGATATTGAAAGAATCTAACACGCCGATATTATTTTTTATTCTGCAATTGGTACAGTATATCAAAACAATTTCGCCAGATGACTTACTATCTCTGTTTGGAGAGACTTTACAATGATAGATTGATTGAGTAGATTCTGCAGCAGGAGTAAAATCAAATAAACAACCTACAAATACATTAAAGAAAAAGATATCATTGAAATAAACACTGTTTATTTTCAGGTCTAACAGTATTCAGGTACAGTAATTGAATAATAATAAAAATATTTTAAAAACAATTACTCATTAATAATGGTACAAATGGTACAATTTAGAATGGTTTTAAAATCATACACTCACAGGCCTTAAAAACACATGCAAATGATAAAATATGATACAAGCTCAGCATGTGTATCCTGCGATGTGACTATTGTGAAATATTGTGTGTGCGTGCGTGTGTGTGTGTGTGTGTGTGTGTGTGTGTGTGTGTGTGTGTGTGTGTGTGTGTGTGTGTGTGTGTGTGTGTGTGTGTGTTCAGTATATTAGTGCTGGGCAAACATTAATTGCTATTATCGCATCCAAAATAAAAGTTTGTTTGGACATACTATATTTGTGTGTATTTTATATATTTGCTATGTATATGTGTACAAACACATATATAAATAATCTTTTTTAGCACATTTATATTTAAATTTAGAATCATGTTTATCATATACATAGTATTTTTACATATAAATTATATATATATATATATATATATATATATATATATATATATATATATATATATATATATATATATATATATATATATATATATATATATATATATATATATATATATATATATATATATATATACACAGTTGAAGTCAGAATTATTAGCCCCCCTGAATTATTAGACTCCCTGTTTATTTCCTCCCCAATTTCTGTTTAACGGAGAAAAGATTTTTTCAACACATTTCTAAACATAATAGTTTTAATGACTCATTTCTACTAACTGATTTATTTTATCTTTTCCATGATGACAGTAAATAATATTTTACCTGATATTTTTAAGACACTTCTATACAGCTTAAAGTGACATTTAAAGGCCTAACTAGGTTAATTAGGTTAACTAGGTAGGTTAGGGTAATTAGGCAAGTTATTGTAAAACGATAGTTTGTTCTGTAGACAGTCGGAAAAAAAATAATAACTCAAAGGGGCTAATAATTTTGTACTTAAAATGGTGTTTAAAATTATTAAAAACTGCTTTTATTCAAGCCGAAATAAAACAAATAAGACTTTCTCCAGAAGAAAAAATATTATCAGACATACTGTGAAAATGTCCTTGCTCTGTTAAACATCATTTGGGAAACATTAAAAAAAGAAGAAAAAAATTCGAAGGGGGCTAATAATTCTGACTTCAACTGTGTGTCTGTGTGTGTGTGTGTGTGTGTGTGTGTGTGTGTGTGTGTGTGTGTGTATATATAATAAAAGCAGTTTTAAAAATTTTAAAAGCCATTTTAAGGTCAAAATGATTAGCCCCGTTAAGCAATATTTTTTTCGTATAGTGTACAGAACAAACCATCGGAAAATATTTAGTCAATTATTATTTACTGTCAGAATGTTATTGTAATGTTATTAAAACTATTATGTGTTTAGAAATGTGTTGAAAAAAATCTTCTTTTAGTTAAACAGAAATTGGGGATAAAACAAACAGGGGGGCTAATAATTCTGATTTCAAATTCATATACAGTATATTCACAAAAATGTAAAGACTCAATAATATTGGCTCCCTTAAGAAATAACTTTTTTGATTGCTACACAGCAACCCCTCTCTGGGAAAGATCCATACACACTCATTCACACTCAAACTATGGAAAATTTTGCCTACCCAATCCTCCTGTACCGCATGTCTTTGGACTGTGGGGGAAACTGGAGCACCCAGAGAAAACCCACGTGAATGCAGGGAGAACAAGCAAACTCCACACAGAATTGACCCAGCCGAGGCTCGAACCAGCTTGCTGTAAGGCGACAGAACTATACCTGCGCCACTGTGTCGACCTAACTTGATTAGTTATAGTAATTAACTAGTTGAGCCTTTAAATACTGTAGGCTGAAAATCTTGCAAAATAACTATCAAACTATGGTGCCTTGTCCCTGTGGCAAAGATGAATAAAAATATAGTTTTTTAGAACTATGTTTAAAACAGTTGAAAAAGATATGTTGAGAGAAAAATGCCAATGTTTTAACTTCGAGAGAGTTAAGAAAGCAATATTTGGTTAAATAACCTTGATTTTCAAATATTTTCTATTTGAAATTTGGAACAAAATATTATCAGACCTTTAAGAATAAAGCAAATATTAACATTTTGTTTAAAAACGTAGACACAAAAAATATTTCAAATGGTTTCTCATTTATTTATTTGTTTTTTGCATAGCTGAATTTTCAGCTGCAGTCTTCAGTTTCACAATGTCCTACAGATATTATTTGCTGGATAATGTTATTTTATTTATCATTAAAAAAGTTACTGGCCTCAACTTCCAAATGGCAGTGTTTACCAGGTCACAAGGGGGCAGAATAGAGACACAGAAAGCAGTATAAGTTTTATTTATTTTAATATTACCTATTATAGGTATTATTATTTCTCATCATAATAATAATAATAATAATAATAATTAAAAACATGTATGTAACATGTTAAATTGATATGATTAACTGCAAAAGAGGCAAAATTATTTTTAGAGTTATTGTCTACAATGTGAACCTGTTAATATCAGGTTTGATCTCAAATGTACAGATTTATCTTTATAGAGGTAGTCATTGCTGTCATCTTTCTGTTGCATTGCAGCATGTCATTTGCTGTGTTTTGTACTCCTTTACATTGCAGTACTTAGCGAATAGAATTGCCCCATCAGCCTGATTCAAATGGTGCCATTCTACTGTGAGCATCAGGAAAGAGAGTTTGCTAAGTGCAGAAGAATGATAGCAGCTCATCAATCTCTGCCTTTAGGCTTTGTGTCTGTGCTGACGACAGGACATATAGTTCTGTCATTTCTGGCCTCATCAAATCATTCAGAGTCTTTCCCCTATTTTATTATGCCTGAACCATATGCCAGGACGACTCGGAAGATGCATGAGAAGCAGGGTATGTCACAACACTGTTCAGTTAAAAAGTTTAGACTTATAACTGTCCTCATAAGTGCAATGACATGTTATGATGTTGTTCTTATTGCATTTTCTGTGATTGTAATAATATGTATTAAATTGTAATAAGTAACTAATTGAAACGATCGCAAAAAATATTAATAATATTATTATTACTATATAACAAAGTGAATTGATCAATTGTTCCTTAATTAGTTTAGATTCTATATACAGAATTATGCACACAATGATATTCATTATGTAATAACAGAACTGTAATACTAATATTAATAAAACATCTATTGTTTATTACTATATTAATTAATTCATTATTATTATATTGTAGGGAAAATACTGAAAACAATTGCATTTTCTTTATCATATAATAAATTATATTTTTAGGAAGTATTATTGAACCATATAATTACAAATATTAGTAATAATTATTCATTTTTTTTATTAATTTAATATAATTCATTTATTTGTATTATTAGTTCATTTTATTGCTATTCATATATTGCACAATATAACATGACATATTGAGATGTACTTTAATATAACTTATGTAGTTATAGATTAATTAGTGTATACACCATTTATTTGTGTGTTATGTATCAATTGTTAGATTCAGCTGAAGAGTTTATTTGCAAAAAGCAACAGTTTTTTTATTCATTTCCATAAATTATGTTGTTTAGGCAAGTTTATTTATACACATGTGCACATTTCATACACATTGGTAATTCAAAGTGCATTACATAAACAAAACATGAAACTTGACATAAAAGAAACATGAAATAAGTATTAAAGATCAAAATAACAAAAAAATCATTAAAAACATTAAAATGTCTTAAAACAGGTTTTAAATTAATGGAAAAAAAGAAAATGTTATAATGCATCTTCTTTATATATATATATATATATATATATATATATATATATATATACACTGTATGTATTATGTTCCCTTTTCCTTTTTATGTTCCTTTTTTTTTTTTTTGAAAAGTTGACCTTTTTGCAGTTATTTGCCTCATTTTCTATTCAATTTTGCATTTTAGTGAATTTTTTAGAACTAATCTTTGCTGGATCAGCTTGTCGAATTGTGATCATAATCACACTTTTTTGATGCACCAAAAATATTTCCGACAATTTTGTCAAAGTACCATACTATTTTACTACAAAATGTTTATTTACAAATTTGGATTTAAACATTAAGTTAATGCAGTTTATAAATATTGTTATGAAATTAGCCTAAATAAATACAAAAAATACTTATCTTTAAATAAAAATGTATTATCATTATTCATTTTTTTTAAAAGATATCTGTTAAAATTATACCCTATATAAATAACAAACTGGCCAGCTCATTCAAGTCTCAATTTGGCCTTTTAAACAATTGAAAATTAAATTTGTCTTAAAGCCTTCTTATAACGATAATTTTCACAGTTTATGATAGCATAGCAGTCAATAATGGGTTTATAAAGGGGTCATTTCCTAGACTTTGTCAGTGGGGGGTGGTTCCCCCTTGAACCCCGAACCCCCCAGGCCTGATATACAGTATATCCCTACAAATGAACTCTTATATTGATAATAAACATAACTAATTATATAATACATATAAACTAACTATATAATACATATTTTAGTTTATAATAAATATAAACATATTATTATTATATTATTATACAGCATACAACATGGTATATAATAATAACATTTGTTTGTTATAAATAAATGCATTTTTAGCAAATTATATGCATAGATATGGGTGACCTTAAAGTTGTTTTTAGCATCTCTTACTTTTTATGCAAAGGAAATCAACGAAATGAGTATTTCATTACGATTACCTTGCTTGACATCTTTTGAGAAGCTGACCGTAAGCAGATCGATGTCCTCGCCGTCGTTCACCTGAACTCAGTTCAGACACACTGAACAGTGAAGAGTCTCAGTTGAACCCCCGGCCAAACCGAAGCAGGGGCACGAGCGAGCACAGGTGGGCGGGGCCTCACTCTCTGTGCTGACCAATCAGAGCGCTCCCTTTCGCGAAGCAAAGAAAAACCCGACTACTTCAATGTGAGTAGAAGAAAAAAACTGACCAGTCCTAAAGAATGAGCTCCGCCGCGATGGACGTAGCATCGTTAACCAGCCGCTCGTTACTGCTGGCTTTACTAGTCCTCTCGGTGACCCATGAGGCGCAAGGTAAGCAACACTTTATAGTTTCCTCTCGCAGGCATTTCTCAAGTTTTATCCGCGCGTGTTTCATTTTCCCCCAGAACACTACCTAGGGTGTCCAAATATGGCGCAGGTCATTAAAGCTCGCGCTGGTTTGAGTGTTTGGTCATTTTCGTGACACGTCCCCAACAGTTTGTGTGGAGAGTGTGTTTGTGTGTTTTCGGACAGGAAGAGAGATGGAGTGGCGCGCGAGGTTTGGGTATCGCGACGCTGTGGTTCTTTACTATAACTTACTTCAGAGCTCCTGTTAATTTATAACAACCTCTAGATCTAATTTTCAGTCATTTGAAACTGTTGACGAGATTTGCTTTCATGAGCGAGCTTGAGTCGCTTAATCTTCTGTCAGTTCCTGTTTCACGTCTGTTCTGCACGTGTATGTGGTGTTGGGCGTTTTTGTTTGTTTTTATGACATTTAAAAACTCTGTTGTAAAATGTCATTCTTCTTTATGGTTTTAGGACATAACTCAGACAGATCGTGCCAGTACCTCCGCACGAATAGCTTTCTTGTGGATGCATCTGTTATCAAGTTATATGGAACCTGTTTTACATGTTTACTTGAGTTGTAATAACAGATCGTGACTTACTATTTCTGAGTGTTACGAATATCGCAGGCTATTCTTAACAGACTGCAGCTCTGGATAGCGGATATCACCCACCCATCATTTTTAGTGAAGTCAATTTAAGGGGATTGAATGTCAGTGGGTGCAACAGTTTGTTTGTTTGTTTGACCAGAGTGTTTTTCACAACGCACGCGCACAGCTTTCACAGTTCATATGCAAGGAGGATACAAATGTCATTTAAAGCGTAACGTTTTAAACCTCAGCCTTACGTACAGCAACACATTAGTTTAAATGCTTCTGTGATTTGCAGCGAGATAACAGGACGAGGCTTGTTGTTTGTATTTGGATTCTTCGCTCCAGTGCATTGGCATTCCTTTACACAAACAAATGGCTTTCAACACACGCTGTTCTCTTTTCACTCATTCTGAGCATTTTAATTAATCAAAAATCCAACATACAAGGACAAATAACAATATTCATTTATTCCTGCATTCAAGCTGTAAAATACAAAGCGATTACAGTAGAAAATAAGAAATACAAGGTTAAAGTTAAGATTGCGGTAGCAGAAGGAAGTAAAAAGAAAAGCAATTACAAAAGAATTCATCCCCAAAATTCATAAAATGGTCTGATGGTTGATTTCTGTGAGTTGTTCTGCAAAGCAGTGTCATTCATTTGGTTGTCACATTTTTTTCTTTATTAAAACACATTATAAATTCACAAACCCTGTCATTTTCCTGTCCTCCGCCCAATTGAAGCTACAGCTTTAATAGTTTGGCTATGCTAAAAACAGTTATTTAGGAGAAGAAAAAAAAAACGTTAGAAATAGCAGGTTTAGGTTTGTTATCATTCACATCAATTGATTAAAAACATGAAATTATAAATACATTTTTACAAATAAATATTATTTCACAATAAGTTTCTGTCAGTCCTTTCACATTTGCAATAAATTTAATATTAAATGTGTGCAATACACCTTTAAGGCTACAACTCAGAAGTGACATTTGATGGAGGAGAAGCTGATGGTAATCAAGGATGCATTCTGTCATTGAATTGTACGATTTTATGCTTCTTTTTGTGTTTTTGAGGAGGACTAGCTTAAAGTTTAGGCCCTGTCACATTTTTTATAAGTGAAAATTTAAGTTCCTGGTAGAATGTAACACAAGCGGAAGAGGCAAAAAGGGATGAGTACGCAAACATTTATGTTAACATATTAGGAAAGAATGTCAAAAAAGAAAGAGTACACAAATATTATACTAAAGAAGTTCAAACATACATACACTAATGGCAACGTTATTACATATAGATGTTCAACTTCTTGTTAAACAATTATCTAATCAGCAAATCACATGGCAAACATTTGGGCTTAAAAAAATTGACATGGTCAAGAAAATCTTGTGAAGATTAAATCTAGCATCAGAATGGGGATGAAATGTGCCTTAAGTGACTTTGAATGTTCACTTGTCGGCCACTTTATTAGGTACACCTTACTAGTACCTGGTTAGACCCCCTTATACCTTTAGGGGGTATAGCCCCATGGTGCTCATGGCGACCTGAGTTTGATTCCCTTTGCCGACACTTCCCCTCTCTCTGCTCCCAATACTTTCGTGTCTGTAACCTTCACTGTCCTGTCCAATTAAAGGTGGAAAACCCCTAAAAATAAATGTGGCATAGATTCAACAAAGTACTGGACATGTTTCTCAGAGATTTTGATCCATATTGACATGATAGCATCACGTAGTTGCTGCAGATTTGTCAGCTGCACATCCATGATGCGAATCTCCCTTTCCACCACATCCCAAAGATGCTCTATTGGATTGAGTTCTGGTGACTGTGGAGGCCATTTGAGTTCAGTGAGCTCATTGTCATGTTCAAGAAACCAGTCTGAGATGATTCATGCTTTATGACATGCTGCGTTATCCTGCTGGAGGTAGCCATCAGAAGATGGATACACTGTGGTCATAAAGGGATGAACATGGTCAGCAACAATACTCAGCTAGGCAGTGGCGGTGACACAGTGCTCAATGGGTACTAATGGGCACAGAGTGTGCCAAGAAAATACCCCCCACACCATTACACCACCACCAGCATGAACCGCTGATACAATTCTGGATGGATCCATGCTTTCATGTTGTTGATGCCAAATTCTGACCCCACCATGCAAATGTGGCAGCAGAAATCAAGACCCATCTGACCAGGCAACATTTTTTTTTCTGTTGTCCAATTTTGGTGAGCCTGTGCAAATTGTAGTCTCAGTTTCCTGTTCTTAGCTGACAGGAGTGGCACTCGGCATGGTCTTCTGCTGCTGTAGCCTATCCGGTTCAAGGTTGGACATTGTTGTGCATTTAGAGATGCTCTTCTGCATACCTTGGTTGTAAATACTTATTTGAATTATTGTTGCCTTTCTATCTGCTCGAACCAGTCTGGACATTCTTCTTCAACCTCTGGCATCAACAAGACATTTGTGCCCACAGATCTGCCACTCACTGGATATCTGCTTTCCATTCTGATGTTCGGTTTGAACTGCAGCAGATTATCTTGACCATGTCTTCATGTCTAAATGCACTGAGTTGCTGCCAAGTGATTGGCTAATTTTGCGTTAATGAGCAGTTGGACAGGTGTACCTAATAAAGTGGCCAGTGAGTGTATCATAATAAGTAAAGCTGCAGGCTATGAGATATAAGAAGCAGACTGCATCCAGCCCATATTTATTTCTGTAAGATTTTCATTTACTAAAAGAGGTAGTAAACTATTACAGCACAGATCAGAGATAAATTTATATAAATCTGAAAAGCCTGTCTGGCTTTTTGTGCAGGAGTAACTGCCTGGATGTACATTAACCTTTGAGAATACCTCTCTATTGAGTAAAGAACTGGCAAATATTTGTATAAGAATTGGGGTAACTTTAATAAGTGATTGGAAGGGCTTTTTAAGTCATTAACGCTAAATTCTGCAGCATATATATAAATGGTACATTTTAAAAGCAGATTCCCAGACACATCTATACACACAGAACACATTTTGAATAGGACAACATTATAGCAGCCAGATCTCAATGATTAGAAACTGAAATAATAAATTTATTGCCTAACTGGCCTTTCAGGTTGTGCAGTCCGTTAGTTCACCTCCAAAGAATTCAAGTCTGATTTACTAGTTCTTCTGTAACCTGACGTCACATCCATATTAACTGTTTGCAGTCTGTACCAGTCTGGAAATGGAAATCATAAATTCACCTGGCGAGTCTTTGGGTTTGAGGAGTTTTTATATCACATGACAGCACCAGATAGGCTGAAGCTGTGCAGACTGTGCCAGAAACAGAAATTATTAGTTCATTTCCTGAGTCTTTTTGAGTTTAAGTTGTTCATTCTTTTGTTGTATGACTGCTTCTCGGATCTTTGCAGTTATTAATACTAATGCAATGGTATTTGTTGTCCTACAATTATCAGAAAGCTTTAAAGAGAAGTTTAATAATCATTTTCTGAAAGTTCAGTCCTGTTCTTTTTTCCTGACAGTCTCTTGTTTTAACAGAACACTGAAACATTAGAGAGAGAGAAATTACCACTGTTCTCAATTAGTGATAATAATCAAGTCAGTCATTTAAAATTTTCATTCATTCATTTTCTTTTTGGCTCAGTCCATTTATTAATCCGGGGTCGCTACTGTGAAATGAACCGCCAACTTATCCAGCATGTTTTACGCAGCGGATGCCCTTCTAGCTGCAAAATTTGAAATTTTCTCATACATTTAGATTTATGGACGATAATTTATTTATTTTTCTATAGATTGGAATCTTTCGAAATATATCCTAAACAAAGGGATATTCCCATACAGGGGTCCGTTCTTTGTACCTCACTTAAATTATCAAATTAATGATTTTGCAGATGCTGGATCTTTTAATCTTGATAACTGATTTCTGGCTATAGTTTGTTTCTTTAAACAAGTTTGTAAATCAGTTTAAAATGTCTGGATAACCTCATCAGAGATCCCTGCATGCATGTTAAAGGACAGATCTATCAATCCCCGAAATCATGATCAGCAATGCAATGATTGGCTGACTGCACATCAGCGTAATGGCATCATCTGATTAATATTCAATTATCCATGAGAGCAAAGCATATAATTTATAGTAAACGGTTTGTTAAATATGATATACAATAACTTTCCACCTTTGTTTGTTGTGGGCTCCATGCTTTATACTCCATGCATCAAATCACTGTCATATTAGTTGTCAACATATGTGTTTGACTACTTAAATTATTTCATAAAAAAAAAAACGTTGAATATTGTGTATATTATCATACACCAATTGTACTAAAGCTGGTACCCTAAAGTTGTACAAATTTGTATCTAAAAAGTCCACATTAATAAATGTTCTCCTTGAGCCCCTTGGGGAGAAACACCCTGTGACAG